GTGTTATTGGGACGTGAACTGACGTGCCTTAGTGTTATTGGGACGTGAACTGACGAGTCTTAGTGTTATTGAGACGTGAACTGACGTGTCTTAGTGTTATTGAGACGTGAACTGACGTGTCTTAGTGTTATTGAGACGTGAACTGACGTGTCTTAGTGTTATTGAGACGTGAACTGACGTGCCTTAGTGTTAGTGGGACGTGAACTGACGTGCTTTAGTGTTATTGAGACGTGAACTGACGTGTCTTAGTGTTATTGAGACGTGAACTGACGAGCTTTATTGTTATTGAGATATGAAATGACGTGCAATAATGTTAATAACTTGCAACAAACTCCCATTATAATTAGTATTTGATGAGAAGGATGTTATGAACCGGTATACCAGTAAATATCTCAGAACTTCAGGTTTTAACGAATTAATGCAAAGGTGAGAATTTCAGGTTATTGACAATCAGTTTCAGTTCTAAATTTCTAAATGATTTGCAAAACTTTATTCTGCAGAAACGTAATGAAACCATTATTACTTTCCTTTTATCATTACAAAGTGGTGCAAATATCTGATACAAAATTAGAATTATAAAATTAAAGATTAAGCTCACTTCTGGTGGTGGGAAGGTCGAACGTCTTGCCATCGTCCACCACAGCAGTCTGAAAAACACAGCGACCTCTCAGCCATACGCAGCCTTCTACAGTTTAATTCATCAATCATTTTACTTTAAACGTTTGAATTTAACAATTAAAAAAAGAATAGAAATACTTACAGGTCTATGCTCATTACTATCAGCGGGATAAATCAAGTCCTGCACAACGCCCAGCGTGTACGAAGTCCCGCGACAGCGTCCCGCGTCGAGGACTTGCCTATAAGCTTAAACGCTCGTCATGTACGTCAAGACGCAAGGGTTAGGTTCACATCCCTGGCAACTCACGTCGTTCAGGAACTGGCTGAAGGTGGCGTCATCGATGATGGCGTTCATGCGGGAGGCGTAGAGCAGGTGGCTGATGCGGTCCCTGCAGGCAACAAGTAATTATTTCGTCACGGTGACTCACACGCACGACACATCACAATGCTAGAGACCTGAGGTCACTCATAAACATTCACAAGAACGATTGCCTTTCAATTTCTTCACGCACCACGCTTTGAACAATGACCATTTTAGAGCCTTGCCCTCACTCATTGCCCAAACAGCATAATTTAACAATGAAATAATTGAATTTGTAGCGCAAAATTTACAGTGACGTGGTCCCCGACGAGTAGTGGGTGCCAGACACTTTGGGGAACGCTGACTTAGTCTTACATGTACACAAATACAAGACCAAAAACCCAGGTGATCAGAGAAGGGTAAAAAATGCAAATCAAAAATCTAAAGAAGAAGTCTGAGATTAGATTTACAATTAAAAATGATTTACACCAACAGAACTTACGAACAAGTTCAACAGAACAAGTTCTGGACCAACGCAGAAATTAGACCTCAGTGAAAGAAAATGCAATCACCAGCACCTACAGCGCCCCATCACCAGCACCAACCCATGCAAAAAAATAGTCGAAGGACCTACAGGCGGTCCTCACGAAAAGCAACCTATACTCAGAAAAATAAATAACTCGGTACTCACTGCAATGAGTACATTTTCTCGTCGGCGAAAACGTGGTCACGGACGGACGGACGGACAGACATACGGACACAATAGCGCCTTTTTTCCATAAACGAGAAAATGCGCTAAAAATGATTCTTAGTGAATAAAATAGTGACACACTTCCTGCATGTAGCACTGATATATCGTTAGCCAGGCTAAACTAGTCCTGGATTACAATGCATCAATGGTAGTGTCAATGTAAAAAAAAGCATCGCTATTTGGACAAACATCAGTAATTTCTCAGAGTGTATAAAGATTACGATGCTTAGACTCACGCGATCTCATCGGTGTACTCATCGTCCACTTCGCAGGGCAGCGCCTTGGAGCCGCGCGTGCAACCCGGGGACGATCGCCGGCGGTAGACCGTGCCGCTCCCGCCTGCCCCAGCACCGGAATCCACATTACCGGTGACGGGGGCCGGGGCAGTTGTAACTGGGGGAAAAATTAGAATTAACTAGAAAAAAAAATCCAAGAAAGGTGGGGACGTAAGTTGAGTTCCAGCAACTGCTGGATTTCGAGGCCTGCAGCGATAAAAATAATTTGCCGAGATTTAGAAAGCAGATTTGAAGATACCTGGCGGTGGTTTAGGTGTGGTCCGAGGAACCGTGTTTGTGGTTCCGTCCTGGCCGTTCTTCTCGGCACCGAAGTTGATCCCCACGCCAGGTGCACGAGGTACGGTCATGAGGTCACGGCCGTTATTGAGTGCCGTAGCACTGCCACCAGGGAGGAAAACAATGTTGTGTCCGTTTTTAGGCAGCCGTGTTGGGAAGGGGAGAGGTGACGGTATTTTTTCGATTGCCCCGTTAGCGTTAGGACCATGTGACTCGAAAGGACGGTTACTGGAGCTTTGCGGGCCCCGAGTTTCAGCACTCAGAAATTGTAGACTGCCATCCTGCAAATTAAAATTTGACCCTATTTGATGGAATTTGAATGAGCAAACGACTTAACTGAATTTTACTCAACTACATAGGTACAACACGAGCTCAACAAACAAAATATACGTCCAATAGAGATGAAAGAGCCGACACGAACAGGAAATCCTTGTCATATAGTGATCTAATACTACTAAATTGACTGGACACTCTAAGAGATCCTGAACGACTTCTGTACAAGAAAATCACTAAAAAACTTCGCAACAATTAAGATAACTTGCCTTGGAGCGACGTCTTCCAGCCATTCCGCCTCGCTCTCCACCTCCAGAACGCAGCGTCTGTGGCGGCGGACGAGAACAACAATAATAATAAAATAATAATATATAATATAATTATAATAATAATTTCCATGTGGAATGATTATACGCACACGAAAAAAATATAATATCTTTGTGCCTATTTTAAAGCCGAAAACTCATTAATATCAATAAACTATACCTATCAAGTGCAGTTTTTCGTAGCAGCTAAGTAATTTCATAAGGATTTCAACAGTACAAGACGAAGGCTGGGACCGTCTCTTCAGGACGTGGAAGGTTGACCTCACATCGTCAGTCATAGAATAGAATAGAAGTGTCGGCACTGAAGAAATAGGCCCATGGCCTGTTGCCGATTCTTGAACTTTTCGTAACTTGATTCACAAGAGATCCGGCCGGCCTTTGGAACCCGATCTTTCCTTAGCTTTCCCATATTAATAATTCCCATGGGGGAATAATAATACGCTCACGAAATGCCTCTTTGACTTATATAACGAGAGTTTTTATGGAGACGTAAAAAACTTATTGGGCAATAAATCTGAGCCTCATAACAGGGAGGAAGAAAGGTTTCATTCTATTCGTCAGTTAAGGAAGCACTACGGATTGCAAAAAAGTCGCCCATCGATAAAAATTTTTGTTTGACGAAGAAATTGCAAATAAATTAGAATATTTGCAACGCATTAACAAACCTAAATTATCAAACGACAGTCAATGGCTGTCATGGTCGCAGCAAGGTACTGAGCCAGGGGTTGTAATGGTAGCAGCAAGGTACTAAGCCAGTGGTTGTCATGGTAGCAGCACGGCACTNTCTGAGCAGTGCCCTCCGCCCCCGCAGTCTCTGAGCAGTGCGCTCCGCCCCCGCAGTCTCTGAACAGTGCCCTCCGCCCCCGCAGTCTCTGAGCAGTGCACCTCGTCCCCGATCTGTGGGTGGAGCGCGCCCCCCGTATTGAGCGGCCTCTTCACTCCCCAAGTATTGCTGAATGTCACGTTCTTAGAAGCGCTTCAAGGCCAGAACCCCAACAGGCCAGTTATTCATAGACACAGTAGCGGGACGTCACGGAAACGTGCGAATTATTTGTGTTGCCTCGTTGAGTAGCTTTATTTCAGTTCATTTGAAAGTTAGGAATTAATGTTTTGATATGATTAATTATATCAATGATTTTTTAACCTATATACACTGTCTTGGGTAAAGTAGAGTCAAGCAGAACCCACACAGGCAAGGTGTTGTGTATATTCTTAATCTGTCGTGCCATCCGCTTTGTGATTTTTGTGATCAGTGCACATTTTCTGGTAATGTTTTGTACATATTATACGTATTTGTATGTATTCTACTGCCAAGATTCTCATTATCTTTTCCTTAACAAGTTTTGTTATTTCTTGTCAGGAATCCAGTTTCTGACTCAATTCTCAAGCACTTTTAATACATCCTCCGAATATGCACACAAGAATATTCATTTATTTATTATCCCTCAGGTAAAGTGAGTTATTTGGCCATTTGAGAATCTGGTGTGGATCCCCTACACCACTAATATGGACATAATTAAAAGTAAAAACTTACATAGTTCATACTGTCAATGGCGCAGAGGCGTAACTGCTAAATGCACGCTCTGAACTCGCTAGAACAAAAACATGCTTCCCATTTATACATAACAAATTACGGAACTTTGTTCAAAGTCTTATTACAATGAAGCTTATTATCATTCAATATAAAATAAAACATAAGCTCGACTCCCAGTGCGCAATTCAAGTTCCAGCCGCCACAAACGGCGATTAACTAGAAGAAATTTGACGTCCAATAATGTAACGATCTGAGCATTTAATGCCAATAACTTTAATTGATTTCTGGCGGTTAAACGTGAATTCGTAAGCCTAGTAGCAACGACGATCCATGAGTTACTAAACCTGAACAGAACCTGGCTATGTCAGATATGTGGGATGGGACAGTCCATGGAGCGAGTCTACGTATAGCGGCCTAAGTACACATAACGGCCTAATTGCAGGTAGCGTTCTGAGAACACGTATAGCGGCCTTATTGTACGTAGCAGTCTAAGGCCGATTTCTCGTCGGTGATTGGTAGTTTTTGATTGAAAAATTTTCAGTGATTGACATGACGGAGTTACGAAGGCGTAGCTATTTTTGATACTTCGACCCCTGCACAATAAGACTCGAGCTTCCGGTCTGTACGACATGAGCCTCCGGTCTGTACGACGTGAGCCTCCGGTCTGTACGACGCGAGCCCCTGCACAATAAGACGCGAGCCTCCGGTCTGTACGACGCGAGCCTCCGGTCTGTACGACGCGAGCCTCCGGTCTGTACGACGTGAGCCTCTCGGTCTGTACGACATGAGCCTCCGGTCTGTACGACATGAGCCTCCGGTCTGTACGACGTGAGCCTCCGGTCTGTACGACGTGAGCCTTCGGTCTGTACGACATGAGCCTCCGGTCTGTACGACGTGAGCCTCCGGTCTGTACGAATTACAGACCGGAGAAAGTGTTAGCCTAGCTTCTATACATACAATGTGGGCCTGCACAGCAATATGGAGGTGAACAACTTGTTAGTGTCACCAAGCTGCTCGGCACATAAACGTCTTGCCAATTAGGATTCAGTTACTTAATGGAGGAGAAAGCTGGTCGTACCAGACACGGTTTCTCACAGTACGAGACCCGAGTTCATGAGTTCCATGGTAAAGTGAAACCTTATGTAGATTTTATTGAATCAGTCACATGAATCTCGATCAATGTGGAAAACATTTTTCTAAATTATCTTTAGAAAAAACTTGAGCGTGAGCCTAAATTGTTTCTTAGTGTAAAATGATTGTTTAAAGTAAAAAATTATTTCGCTAAAACAATAGGTAAAAAATCACTGATTAGGGATATATTAGCTTGATTGTATGCTTATAATTCCAGAACACACTACACATCTTAAAGGCTACAATGAAGCGTCAAATGAAACAATATCTTCCACTCTGCCTTGCTCTGTTGGCCGATATCTTCCACTCTGCCTTGCTCTGTTGGCCGCACCAGCAGGCTCTTTGATTGAAGATTGTAAAGCGTTCGTTTTATCCCAAGATAAAAAAAAATAAGCGAGCATGCCTTCTGACTCGCACTGAGCGCCAAGTGTTTAGCATTACTCTTAACAAATACTCGTACCTTGCTAGGCTGCAGAATATTCCAGCAGAAGTTTAATTTGTTCTGCAGGAAGAAACTGCCGGGAAATTACAAACCAACTACCGTTGCTCCCTCAAGCACTGGAACCGTGGGCTACAGAAGTAACAAAATTTAGAGTCGCCCCAGCTTCTGGTAATCCAAATCAGAAGCTGCCACGTCTGTAAATTTTCACTGGGAGGTTCATAGTAGTGTACTAAAGTACACAGAAAGTATGAAAGAACTTATGTAAAAATCTTGAAAAATTGAAAAGTGAGTGCGCGGATTAAATGATTTGAAAAGGAAACGTCGAGAAAACGTTTCAATAATTCCGAGCGTCTAAAAACCGTTAGTTAATGTAAGAAAGAAAACATTAATAATCAATTGAAAACATTGTTCATACGTCACAAATCTGCATTTAAACCCCAACTGACGATTATATAACAATACTTTGTTCAGCCTTGCCACCATTCCTGGGTAGACGTGCAAAAAATCAATTCCTAGTAGACGTGCATCACCAATGGGTCAAGCTAGTATATAGAGGCTACAAAAACTGGCTCCCACTAAAATCCTTTACTACACAAATATGGCAGGTTTAGCGCGATTCTTAGGCACGATTCCACGAATCCCCCACTGTAACTTGCCAGGAAAACTTGCACCGCAGGCTCTGCGCACCGCCCATAACAACAGTGAACCAGCGCAGACAATTTCTTCGGCTTCCATTATGCCCTTGGATTGAATTTAATCAGGTTAGTTGCCAGGCAGAGCTAAATAATTCCACAGCCGCTGCTGACGCTATAGACAATAACTGCTGTCCGAAGATGAGGAGACATGACGGAGCTTGAACGATGCAAAGCAACGAACAACATTTGCATTTCAGGTAAATGAAATAGGTGCGCATCTTTTAGAGGGCACGTATCCCTAAAGGGTTCGTATCCTTTAAAGGGTCCGTATCTTTTAGAGGGTACGTACGTATCCTTCAAATATTTACCAATGTCCCAGATTCAACCTGCATGGAACATAGGATGAGCTGAAGGTTATGAAGGAGTTTATGAAGGAATATCGCATTAATATGACTGATGCACTTACATCTTCTGATAAATCACGATCACGACTTGCAATTAACATTACAGCAGCTGAGAACTGGAATATTGCAATAAAAATGCTGATGTATTGCAACCAGACTTGTCAAGAACGGACCAGAGTCCAGAGGCTGGAACAGCGAGCTTCACGTGTAGTGAAAAACGATACAAGTTTTTGCGCTAACTTCTTCAGGACCATCGCAAAAACTGACTGCACTCAGCTTCCTTGTGTACACTGATGTACAGAATGAGGTGCACACTGACGTACACAGTGAGGTGCACACTGATGTACAGAATGAGGTGCACACTGACGCACACAATGAGGTGCACACTGACGTACACAATGAGGTGCACACTGACGTACACAATGAGGTGCACACTGATGTACACAATGAGGTGCACACTGACGTACAGAATGAGGTGCACACTGACGTACACCCTGAGGTGCACACTTACGTACACAGTGAGGTGCACACTGACGTACACAATGAGGTGCACACTGACGTACACAATGAGGCGAACACTGACGTACACAATGAGGTGCACACTGACGTACACAATGAGGTGCACACTGATGTACACAATGAGGTGCACACTGACGTACAGAATGGGGTGCACACTGACGTACACTATGAGGTACACAGATACGTACACAATGAGGTGCACACAGACGTACACTTTGAGGTGCACAAGATGAATTAAGTGCACAAGACATCACAAATCCCATACGTCATAGCACTGCGCACAACAGCCTGATGTCATTCAAGCGTTCGGACAAATCCGCTGACATGAAAAAAAAACTCAAAATATAAGTGAGTTAAGTTCCGGTTATTTCTCAGGATGTTAAATTAAATCAATCGAAATTCGATATTAAAGGTAAATATCTGCTCCATAAATTCACTGAGGTCATTGAGTCCAAATTCCATTCAAGGATCAAGCTTCTTACGATAGGTTAAAGTTTACTATATGCACGCTGCGCACAGTTTCAAAGCATCATAGAATACAATTGTTCTGCAGTTGAAGAGTTTAAAGACGTACAATTACAATAGTAAAATACCGATTGGATACGGAAGGGGAACAGGTACTGCGAACTAGAGTAAGCCCATCATGTGTAACATAGGCCGAACTTAGAATGAGTGTTTTTAGCGCATTTTCTCTTTTATGGAAAAAAGGCGCTATTTTTGTGTTCGTCATGTCCGTCTGTCCGTGACGTCACGTTTTCGTCGACGAGAAAATGCGCTCTGTCACTGACTGCAGTGAGTACTGAGTTATATTTTTGTACTATAGTGTGATTATGTGATGAGTTATCGACCAAGTTTATGTATCACTGGATAGGTAGCACCACTGGCTTGACTGTTGATGATGTTTGGGTTTCGTTCCATATTTTTCGACTATGTCCGGTGCTTGTCCATCTTCTTGGTGAAAAAGGCGTGAAATTTGTTTATGCCAAACTTTTACTTGTAAACATTAATTATTGAAGAGCAAATAAAAGTTAAGAGCGTAATAATATTATATATGTCACCGTTTCTAGTATATTGGTGTGTTAAGACGGTTGCATATGTGATGTACAAAATGCTGTTTTTTTTTTAATTTCATGACAATTTTCGTCAAAAATTGGGGTAGCTTTAGCCCAAACATTCAACCAAATCATAATATCAACATAGCTTAAAAGAAGAATGAAAAAATTCAAATCTTCACCATATGAAGATAATGTTGCCAGGACATTCTAGAGTTTGCTGGGCAAATCGAAACCATTTCTGATTTAGAAGAAATATAAGAAGCAGGCACACCTGTTCACAGGCCTTATGAATTATAAACATTAGTTGAGCTTAACCCTGCATGATGACTGTGCCATTGAAAACGTCGTTGTTGTTGTTGTTGTTGAATATAATGGACAGAAATACCCTGAAAAAAATTGTCAGCTCATCTGAAGAAGGACCTTCAGTTGAATGCATAGAAAAGATTTGACTTTTTGCGCTGGCCAGAAAAACAAGATTGTCCGACCTACGACTAGACGCAGTTTGTCACATGATAAATAGTGCAATAAAGGAACCAGTTCCCTGTACCAGAACTAGACAACTATATATGATGTTAAATGCTTTTTATATACTTAAAAATAAAAATAAAAAATCTGAAAGATCTGTGGTAATTTAATCTTGTCTAACTTCAACCCAATCAATACGAAACATAGGTCTCATAAGGTTTACAAGTATGGGACAAAGTTTCACCAATTAAAGATAACTTTGGCCCAAATATTAAAAAAAATCTTGATGATATTGCACAGAGACTGAAAGGTCTCAACATGGTTTTAGTGTAATGATTAAGAGTACTTTTTCGCATAAAGGTACATTAAAAACGAACATAATAAATGTCATAAGATATTGCGCTGATAAAATTTTCAATCTTTCTCCAGTTGACGGTAGTTGAGCGAAATTGAGCATAATCTTACGAAATGTAAGTTGAAGTTGAACTCTATCACGCCCGGGACTTTCGTATCAGCACGCAGCTATAAGAGTGACACGAAATTCACGTGTAAAGAGTTACGTAAAATTGCATCTAATGGCCAAAATAAAAATAAAACATTAAATAGAGATAAACGGCAAGATATATTAAATAGCGTTAACTGGGAGCCAGTGAATGCGTTCGAGATCGTTAAATGGTAGCCAGTGAATGCGCTTGAGGTAGTTAAGTGGGAGCCAATGAATGCGTTTGAAGTAGTTAAGTGGGAGCCAGTGAATGCTTTATAGATAGTTAAGTGGGAGCCAGTGAATGCGTTTGAGAATTGAGGTAGCTAAGTGGGAGCCAGTGAATGCGTTTGAGAATTGAGGTAGCTAAGTGGGAGCGAGTGACAGCGTTTGAGGTAGTTAAGTGGGAGTCGATGACAGCGTTTGAGATAGTTAAAAGGGAGCCAATTCCAGCGTTTGAGATAGTTAAGTGGACCGGCTACTCTCCAGAAAAACTTCTACAGTTATTATCTGTGGGAGCCAATTCCAGCGTCTGAGGAAGGTAAAGTGGGAGTCAATGATAGCGTTTGAGGTAGTTAAGTGGGAGTCGATGAATTTCAAACGTAAGGCAACGTTCGTAGAGCTTCTTTCCTTGCTTGCTCGGTCAGCAGTCCAATCACGGCGCAAGCGTGAACACAAATGAGAGGTTACAAATTATGCAATTAGAGATTATTATGCGGAAATGTAAATACAATTTATTTATTTATGTACAGATAATATTAATCATAGTGATTTGGCACAGCACAATTATGATTCCACTTCGTCATTGAAAGACAAACTGGTTGATCGACTTTGGCAGACCTTCGAAGAACTATCGTCTCAAATACAGCAGCGCATGCCACAATTAGAAAAAATAAATCAACTGCAAGCCATCAATCAAAGACCGCCTGGAGATATGACTCTCTCAAAAAAGCTGGAACCAACCGGCTTAATTTGCAGCTACAAGACAAGACTTAGTGGCGGCCAGACGCTATATACCTATGTAGATAGCGACCGTGCGCTTTGGCGGAGTCTGGATATATGCGGAAGAAACACAATTTCAAGTCATGAGGATCTGGAACTAGCAGTTCATTGCCAGATACCAGATCAGAGCGAAAAATAGTAGATCCTGGTAAAAAAAATTGCTCAGGACTCACGAAAACGTGATTTGAATTTGGCGAACATGAATCGACAACTGCCAGGAATGCCACGGCCAGATATCAAGCCAGTTCATGCGATGAAAAGCTAATCCATTAAGTCGTTCACCATCAGCGAACAGGCTCAATGCGATACATTAAGTGATTCACCATTAGCAGACGTGCACAATGCAGTGCGTAAGGTTGCTTTCTAATAGTGAACGCACTCAAAGCAGTATTTTTCGCGGCCTCGATATAATGACACACTGACAGCTAAAGATGAGGAAACATTGACTAACTAATACTTGCCTAATGTATAAGCTTACTTGCCGGTAAGACCATGTGGACGGCTAGTTGTCTGACGACTACAAAATTAACAAAAGACAAAGTATCACAGTAAACAAAATGGCATTTCTACAGTTAGGAAAAAACAATTAGCTACTTAACAAAATTCACGCAAACCTTCCTCTTTCAAACTTCCAAGCACGAAACTGGATTCGAACTCTGGCAACTATGCTAAACATGACCTCGAATTTAAGGTCCTGTTCTGAATAATAGCTTCAGATAGAAGAGACCGAGGGAGGACTCGGCCATTTATTTAACGTCGTTTCCCGCTGAAGGCCAATACGAATGATCCACTATTTGGCAGGATGAGAAGTCGCAGTAATTAACATTATTCCTCAGTGTGCTGTCGTTGGCGGTAGATTTCAACGTCACAGTCAACAGTGAAATCTCAACATAGCATTTCCGGGTTATCATTTCGCATTAAATTCCCGTTAGAGCAGAAACGCACGAGACGGAAAATTCAGATATGCAATATTTATTATATCTGAGGAAATTCTTCAAGTTGCATTTAGTTCTGCGACGATTTATCATCTTGTTACACGCTCAAGATTGACAAGCATACGAGATAAAGGCATAAAGCAATAGATCGGCAGTCTAACGTACTAAATTTTACATATATGCTAAAAAATATTTTCTATTTGTAATTAATTAAACATTTCCTGTAAATAGTTCCAAAATTTCTATAAATATTTGAGAGAAAAAACTTGTCAGGCACGCTGTGGCGGCACTCACCACAGAGAGGACGACGAGCAGCACCTGCAGCCGCATCGCTGTCAAGGAAGCCTCTCTGTCCTTGACGGTAACCGAATACCTGATTATTCAAGATTATTTCTTTATTAGCATAAACCGAGAACTTAAACTCGCAACTTCAGTCATCGAAAAAATCCCTTTGAATGTTTATAATGTGATTAACAACTTCAAGTTTCTGTCGAAGGGTGAAAAGTTTACAAGTGAGATTATGAGATTGTGTAGGTACGTCTTATGTAGCAATTTCAGATATGATCGAATTTGTTCATCATTTTTTACAAAACTTCTCTTTAACTTTACTTCTTGTTTGTCTGTCTGCTACAAATCTTATAATCGATATTTAACGCACTTCTACCTGTCCAATCGATCTGAAATTTTGCACACTTGCGTAAAGTTGGAGACAATGCATGAATCAATTGACAGAATAGAAATTTTTAAAGGTGTTTAAAATTTTTGAAACTTAAAAAAATTAGTAAATTATTTTTTTTAATGTTTGAAAATAAATTTGAAATTCATGGTACATGTGTTGCATCAAAGACACTGGATTCTTTAGAAGTGTTGTCTTTAAAAAGTAATTTTTGAACGCATATTATTATAACTAATAGATGCCTTCCAACGGGTTATAAGTAAGGTTTTTTTCAAGGCGCTGTAACTCGTTATTCTATGTAGGTTCCGGTAAAAGTCAAAGCTCGACTAGTATTATTAACGAGGAAAAAAAGTTTATGTCCATGCAGGAATCGCTCAATACAATGCAGGGATCGTTATAGTAGCACGAGGAATCAAGTTTTAATCTTCTGTGAGTGTTTGAAATTGTATCGGAATGTTATAGTACAGAAAATTTGTACTTATCATCATTATAATAAGAGAGAAGGGTCTGCGCCCTACAAATCGCAACGCAATCACAATCATTGTCGTACTTTTCAACCGAAATATCGCGACGAACAGAGTCTGTTGCCTAGTTAGGTTGACTGTCGTGAGTGTCGTCGGTAACTGAAACATCACGACCAGGCAATAGTCCCTGATTGCTGATTAGTGATTACCGATTATTTTTCGACAGCAGTCTGATTGGCAAGGAGTCTGCCGAAAATTGCAAGTGTAAATGGGATGTGAAATGCTTAAATAATAATAACTGATCATGGGTGTTACGTAATGAAGAAAGAAGGGAAATGAAAAAACAACGCTTACACCGGAGAACGATTGTTCATGCGATAGAATCCTACAAATACGCTCTAGCTCTTCAATCTCGGACTGACGGACTCTAATGTCATGACACTCATTGAACCGTGCACTTTGACGACAAGAAATTTATTTTAAGGAAAAAAATAAATGTTTTCAGTGTTTCTGATTACCAAGTAATATCCGTCTCCATCACGCATCAGCATTCATGAATGCTATAATCGTTAGGTACTGCCCAAACATTAATCCTAATAGAAACAGCCATTTTCAGAAATTCATAGGTGTAAAAGTGAAAACTACATTATTTACGGTAGAGCATTTGATATCTTAAATATGGGTTTATAGTAAAATGATAAAATTTGACGAGGACTCCGGAAATCCGGGATCAACGTATCTCGCCAACACGCAAGAAATAGAGCTGCGTCAACACACTACCGCTATCACCATCTCTCACCACGTCTCCCGCGACACTAACTGGGCAGTGGGCATTGCCATTGGGCACTGCAACTTGCAAGTCGATTTCACGGGTAGAAACTTTGCTTCTGGGACTTTTCTCACGAGTATTTACGAGCACTTTTTTTAGTTTATCTTGTAATGTAATGCGAGGCAGGAGATGCTCTGCAACAACAACAGCGAGTAAGACGATGAATGTATAATCCAATCTGCATTTGAGATTATTCCAGCATATGAGCTCGACAGTTTGTTTTTGAATGACCTTGAATTTCGTTCTTCAGAGGCTCGGCGGAGAGAACCGCTATGGAGTAATCAAGCAAAGTTCGCGTTCGTTCAAGCAGTGGAAGAAATTATATCCGGCAACGAAAATTGTTATATTTAATTTGATGTAAATGAATTTACTTCCGAAAGTAAATAAATCCGATACTCACGCCAATTCTGAATATTCTTTGAAAATGCAAGTAAAAAATTGAACGTTTCTTCCCGCCAATTTCCTAAATTCACCTGGACAATAGATAGGGTAATATATTAGAAGGATGGTATCTCAAAACAAAATGACTAAAATATCAACCTCACGTGAGAACGGCATACTTTTCATTAAAACAAATTTAATCATGCATTTAACAGTAAGGTTACATTTTTATGTTAAAAGCGTGGACCCCACGGAGCAATAGCAATAGGATTATACATGTAAAGACAGGATGCCGCAGCTGCTCAGTAAGGATACGCTTTGCTGATAAGAGTTCTCCGTACTGAGAACTGCCGTGGGAGACGTCTCGAAAATCATGTCCAGTACCGAATTACGCGTACGGTCGTGGGAGAGAATACAGACTATCATGTGACCATCAATGGCACTACTCTAACATTATCCCAGCAATCATGTGGAACACGCATTAAAGCACTATCATGGGATATTGCATTCATGCCGAGTACTGAATTACTGTTACATTACAACTGCTGAGGGTAGTGATCTTAATTTCCATACAGAAAGAGATTAATTGCAATCATTCCAGTTGAAATTTCACACCAAAATTAGGGCTGCATCCTCTTTACGGGTTGTAAATTATTTCAAGAAACGTAGGATACACTAATTTGGGGAAATCTCTAGACCCGAGTTTGCCCCACGGAAAGACAGAATATCAATCAACTCAACAGCGAGATCAGTTGAGTCGCAGAAATGCATATATATGATATATATCATGGATGGGTAGGATAATAATACAAGCATTCATGTAATACGAAATAGTTTAGTAAAAGTGTAGTACTTCAAACAAGACTTGTCACTTACAAAAATATAAAAACTATCAGACCTTTTAAATATGAATATTTGTTCTTACAGAATCGCTACTTACAAATATGCCAAGCATTGTGCAATTTTCACGAGCAAACGTTGGTCTTATAATAATTCTTTATTTTTTCCATTACTTTATGGTTAATGAGAAAAATAATCAAGTGGAACCGTAAACGAATGAAGATATGGTAAGTTCAATATTGATATTCAATACATATCCGTATAAATTTTTGAAAAGAGAATAATGACTGGAGCGGTTCTCACCAGTACCAAGTGACCCGGTACGAAAATCAGAAGTCATAACTAAAATATTACGAAAACAGCCAACCAATCCGATTAAGATTGCATATAGAGCAAGGCTGAACCATTAGACTTGTTCAGCAAAGTTGATAAATTTAGCTTGGGACGTAAGTTACGATATCATTTGTTGATATGGCGCACTTACCACATTTTCTGAACTTGAAGTTAGAAGACATTACATACACATTCAACTTTGTACTAGCGCTTTCCTAAACAAAACTTATCCTAAACAAGAACCCGATAGCTGCTAACAAATATTCTCATAGCAAGTATCTGTGAGGTGGGGATTGGTAGTAACTCTAGGAGCGACAGCCGTTTGTGAGATGGTGATTGGTCGTACCTCTAGGAGCGACAGTTGTTTGTGAGATAGTGATTGGTCGTAACTCTAGGAGCGACAGTCGTTTGTGAGATGGTGATTGGTCGTACCTCTAGGAGCGACAGTTGTTTGTGAGATAGTGATTGGTCGTAACTCTAGGAGCGACAGTTGTTTGTGAGATAGTGATTGGTCGGAACTCTAGGAGCGACAGTTGTTTGTGAGATAGTGATTTGTCGGAACTCTAGGAGCGACAGTTGTTTGTGAGATGGTAATTGGTCTCAACTCTAGGAGTGGCAGTTGTCTGCGAGATGAGATGGTGATTGGTCGTACCTCTAGGAGCGACTGTTGTTTGTGAGATGGTAATTGGTAGTAACTCTAGGAGTGGCAGTTGTTTGTGAGATGAGATGGTGATTGGTCGTAACTCTAGGAGTGGCAGTTGTCTGCGAGATGGTGATTGGGTCGTTACTTGGCCTGTGAGATCGCTAAACGCAAGCGAGGTCACGATGTCCATGGGCAACTTTGCCGCGGATCGCGGCGCTCTGCAGCTTCTGAAAATAAAACATGATAAATTATCCACGTGACCTTGATACTAAACATGAACATTATTCAACATCAAGAGTGAATGAAAATCATAAGTCACTGCATCACAACCGTGACCCTAACGGCCTCTGACAACCACACATTGCACCTGGCCGTACTGACGACGTACACACAACGAAACTGACCGTACTGGTGACGTACACACGACGTACCTGGCCGCACTAACGACGCACACACAACGCACCTGGCCGTACTTGTGACGTACACACGACGTACCTGGCCGTACTTGTGACGTACACACAACGCACCTGGCCGTATTGACGTCGACGGATACGGTTGAGCTTTGCTGCCAAGGCCCGTCGCTGCCGCGCCTCCCGAGCCGCGGCTTCTGGCAAACGGGCCACCGCACGCCTGGTGCGCTGCGTCAGCTCATCGTACGACAACACTGGGCTCGCCACTGTGCATGTAATGGTCAATAACAACGTAGAAATGATTCGGCTAGAAACTTTACATTCCTCTAGAGGGGTGATCCCGCAAGACAAAGTGACTATCAAAATAAAAATTACGAAAAATTTTCAACATAATGGAGTTTACTAGAAAGAAAGATTATTGTAGCGAAATTCTTAGTTGTCAAAGAGTGTTTCACCAAGAATTAAAAAAGTCAAATAAAGTTTTAGATATTGTAGAAGAAATTGCTTTTCAGATTGGCAACGGAACAAGTGGGTGGCTTGTGTTGCAAGCCACATCCATTCCAGTGAGCGAGTGATGAGTTAGCGCTGCGTGTGCAGCCGAGGTTGCGCTGCACGAGTGCAGGGTCGACAATGCACAAGAGCGGAATTTCCCTTGAGTGTCTGCCGAACCGACTGACCCAAACTGCAGACCAACGTACAATATCTGCAGACCCAACTGACCGTATCTGCAGACCAACTGACGATATCTGCAGACCTAACTAACCGTATCAGCAGACCAACTGACAATATCTGCAGGCCTAACTGACCGTACCTGCAGACCCAACTGACCGTACCTGCAGACCCAACTGACCGTATCTGCAGACCCAACTGACCGTATCTGCAGACCCAACTGACCGTATCTGCAGACCAACTGACAATATCTGCAGACCCAACTGACCGTGCCTGCAGACCCAACTGACCGTACCTGCAGATCCAACTGACCGTATTTGCAGACCTAACTGACAATATCTGCAGACCTAACTGACAACATCTGCAGACCCAACTGACCGTATCTGCAGATCCAACTGACCGTACCTGCAGACCCAACTGACCGTACCTGCATTCGGCTAGAAACTTTACATTCCTCTAGAGGGGTGATCCCGCAAGACAAAGTGACAAAATAAAAATTCCGAAAATTTTTCAACTAATAGGAGTTCTCTAGAGAGAAAGATTATTGTAGCGAAATTTGCAGTTGTCAAAGAGTGTTTCACCAAGAATTAAAACAGCACAATAATGCTTCAGATATAGTAAAAGAAATTACTTTTCAGATTGGCAATGGAACAAGTGGGTGGCTTGTTTGTTGTGTGGGTAGCTGTGTTGTGTGGGTGGCTTGTTTGTGTCACGAGGAATTTAAAAACAAAGAAAATGCCAAGCAAATTCACCATATTGATATTGAAAACGTTTCGGAGTCAAGCTCCATCATCAGTTCGACAATCTAAAAATGATTAAAATCATTTTATAAGTCAAAATTCTAAGACATATATAAAACCTAAACAAGACCTAACATTATATAAAAAAATATCGATAAAAAATAAAATATCGTTTTCAATATCGATATGGTGAATTTGCTTGGAGTTTTCTTTGTTTTTAAATTTTTTGTGAACTTGTGTGTGTCAATAATGCGCAAGTACGGAATAACCGTTTAGTGTTTGCCGAGTTTCCTTTGATGTCTGCAGACCAACCTCACCGTATCTGTAGACCCAACTGACCGTATCTGCAGAGCACGGTGTCCAGGTGACGGGGGGACAAGAGGGCAGGGGGGAGGGTGGCCGCCACCCGCCAGTTGTACTCCTGCACGCCGCGTCGCGCGTGCTGGTGACGAACCAGCCGCTCCCGCCGCTCCTCCGCTGCCGCAACGAAATCCGGACGCCGGAGCCGGAGCGCCGCCTGCACAATCCGATAACCATTAAAAATTTGTAATAAAATTGATAATTAGTCATTTGAAAAAAAGTTCTTTGTACAATCTGTACGTAATTTTTGTTAGGCGATAGTTATTTAATCAATGGATTTTTCTATGAGTCTAAAAATTGTAGTCAACGGATTTTCGCAATAAATTTCTACATTATTAAGAAATATTACTGGTATAATGGTGAAAAACTGACTCTCCTAGCTGAAAAATCCTAATGCAGAAGCATAACATTCAAGACTTATCAGCAACATATATTTGTATTCACCTGCAATGATAATTCTTCTTTCTTTTCCAAAGCAGAAGCGCTTGAGGTGAGAGCTTGTGCTCCAGCAGCCAGAAGAGCTGCACTTTTAGTACCAACACGAAATGTAAAACAACTTTCTTCACCAGCCGAAGAAGGAACGTTGGCAGGTCGATTGGCATGAACCGAAGGACTGTTAGCAGTACCAGCATTGTCACTAACACCGGCAATGTCATCAGCATAAGCATTGGCTGTCGCGATGTCACCAACTTGAGATCTGCCACCGACCCGAGCATAATCACCGACACGCTCCTTCGTGGTAAGGCGTTCTTTTCTACCAACAGATGAAGCTCGAGAGCTACGAATGGGCAGATGATGTGCAGTTAGAAAATCTTTGTTCTTTCTGACGGCGCGTGGAGTAAAAACAGAAGAACTTTCGCTGCAACTCCGGTTTCGCCCATATTTTGACTTGAATGAAACGGAGTCTGGACCCGCAATGAGTGAACAGGGACTCGCACTTTTTTTAACTGACCGTCTGATTGCATGGTCTGTCAATCCAACTTTCATGACTCCTTTCCGAGACACGCCAGTTGAAGTTGAATCATCGTCTAATATCAATGAAGGTATGGCTCTTCCATACATTTTATCAGCTCTATTTTTCTTAGACCCAACTTTTATTTGAGTTTGGTAGCCATGGCTGCGACTAGCCAGTTTCATCGAAGGCTTGTAAGTTTCCCGAGACCGAGAGTTGATTGATTCTTCAGTGAGAGGTTGCCGGGTAGCGGAGCTCAGCCGTGCGGTGTCACGGAATGGTACCATTTCTGATCTCCCGCTAAAATTTTGCTGCGCGTGTGAGTCCATTCTTGATTTTGTGAAATTTTCCTTTATTTCAGAACGTTGCTGACGAGCATTTTCGTCAATCGCGGAAGTTTCAATGACACTGCTTTCTAGAAGCGTTTGATCTGGGGGTGCATTGAGGCACAGAAGCGACGTGCCTGTTTGCACAGCAACGCTGTAATGCCCCACTGACGATTCATCACTAGGGAAGACCTGTTCAAAATCTTTAGTTGAAACTTTATCTTGAAGAGGAAAGATTGGCGAGTCAGCGGAAACTTCCACTTGTCTGTTAGTTCTTGAAGGAGCAGTTTGCAATGCAGGGGCATTGCCAGCAAAGGAAGTAGCACGTGAACAAGCAACCGCCGATGTAAAAGTCTTTGTGTTTGTTATTCTTGTCCGTGTATCTTCTCGAGACGATTCCGAAAAAAAATTGTTACCAGTGTGTAGCACAGAAGCTGGAATAATGTGCGTAGACTTTCGGTCCATGTGACGACTATTAATATACGCAATACTATCATGACTAGACGAGTTCGCTTCACTAAGGCGAGTAGTCGGCGCGTCAGGAGTTTCGGATGAACTGTGAGGTTGATTTTGAAGAAAGTGCGAACCGTCTACGTTTATCCCAGGAATATTCTTGGAATTGACTGCTGATGGAGTTCTGAACTCGAATGCTGCGAGGGATTTTTTACTGGAACCACGAACTGTAGAAGTCATAAGAGGAGAAATGTCCTCGTTGGTGAAGCCGCGCACGGTTTTGTCGAAGCTGAAAAATGAATCTTCATTTTTCGTAAGTTTCTTTGGGTGAGAAGTACCGGCAGTTAGTCTCTGTGTAAAGTTCAGTTCGCCATCAAAATCGCAGCAAAGGTTAGGTGCTGCTTGAGATGAAACAGCAGTGTTAGTCCCTACGATTTGAAGTTCTGCTGCCTTACACAACACTTCAGAAGCATTTCCAACACCAGAAAAATTGTTGACTTCGTCTTTATGGGCATCGAAAGCGCTGTGACGTCCTGCAGCAACGTCGCTTGCTCCCTTTATACCATTGCTTTGTCTTGTGCCTTCTTCATGCGCGAATTCGTCGTCCTCAGGTTCAGTGAAAACGTCATAAGTGCGCTCACTTGCGAGTTCAACAGCGTCATCAAATGAGTTGTTTGACGATGCCGCGTTGACAACGTTGCTTAACGATGCCGCGCGCACGGCCGCGTTTTGTTGTTCAAAATTCGATAGTAAAGACATGAACCCCGATGCTGGTTGAGAGCAATCTTTGACTTCACGACAGGGCATAGACATAAATCCAGGATGCTGAGACGACTTATGAAGGTCATCAGGCGGCGACAAATGGGATTGGTTAAAGCAAGTCTCGGTTGGAATTTCTCTTACACTGCTATCATCTCGAATGGAATCGACATGTTGTGTCGCTTTAGGCGGACGGCAGCTGCAGTCGTCGCCTGGTGAAGCGTCCATTGGCTTAGAATTCATACAGCTAATGCCCTCTTCGACCGGGGGTTCATTGGAACTGTAGGGATGACCATATCTGGATAAGTCTTTATTATGGCTGCAGCCACTTCCAGAGGTAGCATAATCCTTCTTGGAGATCGATTTTTGTCTCGAATCCCAAGAGATAAGTTGGAAGTCAGGTTCCCGAGAGTCAATGCCAGAGTTGAGGCTGGTCCAGGAGCTGCTCATGTCCTGGGGATCGGTAAGATTTAGAGCGTCAACAGCTTTCTGGACGAGCTGAAGCTGCTGCACTTCAGCCTCCAGCAGCCGCAAGCAAGATGACCCGGCAGTTGAATTGAGGTTTAAATCGTCGCTGTGTAGTTTGCTGTCGCATACGCTTTGACCTTCAGACGGGCTATTCACTTCTGCATTGTCCGATGCCACTAAACTGCAATTTGCGCTCACAAATTTATTTTTGTCTGATTTGAATTGACGACCAGCAGATAATGAAACAGGATAATTAACAGTGTCATCTGAAATGCTAACGGGAGCAAGAAGAGCATCGGTCGCAAGATGGGGCTTCTGAGCGAGTGATGGATTAGGAACCGTTTCTTGCTGAGAGATAAAATTATTCTGGCCAATTTCTTCAGTTTGAATCTGTGAATCAACATTTTCCTGACTCTCTATATTAGGTAGTTTTCTAGAAGTTTTCGAAACGGGAGCATTTGGCGCCGAAGAGTCATTGATAGGATTAACCAAACGTGGACACACATCAGATGGCATAGCTCGCACATCGTTAAAATTTTTAGACTTGGAAATATGCTTCCTTCGATGGCAGCTTTTTTCAATGGTTTCTATGGTTTCACACTCAACAGTTACAGAGCGCAAAGCAAGGTTGCTTGCGCTCGTGGCGTTCTCGTTTGAAGAGGAACAAGTGCTTCCGTAGCTTCCTGCACTGCTTTCCGGCATTTTAGCAAGCGCACGTTCGAGTTTCTCTAGAGTACGCACATACTGCTCGATTTTATGGGCATAGCGTTGCTTCCTAGAAGCTGCCGAGCTCGATCTGTGGCGCGTATTTGATCGTTTGCTTGACTTATCACCGTGTGATGAGAGACTTTCAAGTTCACTGCCGAGGCGAGATGAGCGTCGAGTGTCGATTCCGTCAGCGCACGACAAGTGTTCAATATTTTTGTTACTCTGGGAGGAGACGTGGATGGTATCATTCTGCACTGGTAATGAATCCCGTTGCAGATCAGAATGAGGCGACTGTTGGTCAGGAAATGTCATAGTGGTAGTAACTTGCTGACCTTCGGCAGCGACAGAGTTGGTATTATTAAAGTCCTCGATTTCACCGCCATCAGTGCTAGTAGTAGATTTATTCGAGGTCTCTGCAGAAACAGCCACAAAGTTCTCTTTTGTTCCTGGGTCAAGTATTTGGTGTGAGCTATTAGGGAGATGTTTTATACCGCCATTCTCATCTGAAGAAAATATGGCTATTGAACCAAGAGCTGATGTCTTCGAGATAGAAACATTCGTTGAACCATTGAGGTTAGTTTCTTTGGAGTGTACAAAGTTCTTAGAAGAGTCTGAAAACATTGGAGATGTGCATGAAGAGACCTCAACAGGGCTGGGAGCATTTACTATCGAAATCTTATCTATCGCTGCTGGTTGACAAGATAGCGCCTCTAAATTTGGCGTGGAGGCTATTGCAGGAGCTGTTGCAGAAAGATCACTATCATTACATGACAAAGTTTCTTTCTGCCTAACATTTGATCTACCTTGACTAAAATAAGTTGTTTCGTCAACAACAGCCACGCTAGATATGGCAGTCAACTCGTTAGGTCCAATTTGTATGGCCACAAGCGAGGCATCGCGAACATCCGAGGCAGGATCGCCAGGGTTGTCGGCCGAGCGGATACTTGCATCACTCGCACATGGCCTCTCCTCAGCACTTGAGATGGATTCTGTCCCCATTTGCAAGGCGATGTCGACAGCAGGAGTTGCGACAGGCGTAGGAGTAGATTGTTCAGTAACGGATGTCTCTTTTTGTTTTATTAGTGAGGATTTGCGGGCGTTAGCAGAGCGCTTCTTCGCAGCAAGATGAACACTACTTTCAGCGTCGGATCCAGGAATCGGATGCTCAAGTGTATCTCTGTCTGAATTTAAGATCATATGACTATTCAAGAGTGATTTTTCTGCAGCAGCTGGGTTTACTACAGGACACGTGACGAGCTTCCCTTCAGGTACACAGCTTAATTCAGAAGTCCCGAGCGTATTTCCATCGAAGGCATTATGCATTTTAGAAGCCAATAACGATTGTTCATTAGTGACAGAATTGACGTCTGAAGGCGAACTGCACACCTCATCCACCACGTAACTTAGTTCTGGCGGACTCGACACTTTCTCAGCCAAGTCCTTCAAGTTACCAGCTGAAAATGACTGGTGACTACTGACAAGTTCTCCAGCAGCGCTCACAGGAGGGCCGTCACATTGACGGCATAGGTCGATAGATGCAGCGACGGAAGTTTCATCTTCTCCTCTCTGCCCTCGTCCAGACGCTGACCCAATGTTCCGATCCTGGGGAAAAATAGAAGAATTTCAGATCACAATATCCAATAATAAATATCAATGGATGAAAAGACATATTGAAAACCTAATTATTCATATCTCACAAGGAACAAACTTTTATGAAGGAGATTTAATTACGTGGAAATGTCCCTATAATCTTCAATTAAACGTTTATTATAGATATATAAATCATGTGCATATGAGCTCAATGTGGTGAATAAGGTTCTTTGTATATCAGATCACTAAACTAGGAGCTCACTGAATGACGGTCAAGGGCAGCAAAATCTTGTGATGGCGCGCAGTAAAATTCGAAGCTAGACACAGACGCTTCGTCTAGCCTGGGCTCGTCAGAAGCGACCGTCTCACAGGCACTTGCAGAGTCGTCGCTGCTGCGGTTCGGGGCTACCGTCAACTTTCTACCACCTTCCTTCGCCTCAACGTCGCCAAAATGTAAGTATGTAGTCGGTAATCTATTTTTTAGTCTTTTCTCGGTGCCGCGAACATTATTTTTATTTTTCTTAATTTCGGGTGGTTCATTTCTGGTGCTTGAAGCCTGACTAGATTCGCGGTAAGAAGTATCTATAGAAATTTGAGACAAGACTGGAATTGAATCCGGAATGAATTTTGTTGACAACCCGGTCAGTTGATGGTCAGGGTCATTACTTTGAGGATAAATTGTTTGTCCATCAGCCGAAAAAGCTGACACGTCTACTTTGCTTGTAGGGGAGATCCTGGATTGTAAAGACTTGAATTCGTTGCGATGTTCGATATCTTGGCTTGGACTAAAAAATTGTAGTCCTGAATCATGATCTGCACCAGAATATTCAGCGAGTTTGCGGGCGGTGTGAGGGTCGGGCAAGGAACTGAAAGCCTGGTCGCGAAGAGCAGCTCTCATGTTGGAGATCTCTTGGTCTAGTGTCCGAGGGCTACACGGGCAGTTGGCTATCCTGTACCCTTCCTGGACGTCTTGAAATCCTGGGACATTTTGGTGCTCTGCTCCAGTAGCAACTGTCATGATCGATGCTGATCCAGGAACTTTGCTGAAGGCTGACGTGTAATACGACGATGGAACGGGGTTTGAGTTTTGCCTAGATGTTGGACAAGCGGGAAAAGTCGATGTCAAGTTTATACTTTGGGAAGATGAGCAAACAGGGGCCATATTTTCCGTCATTAGATTCCTTATAGAACCAGCAAGGCGAAAGCAATCGCCAATAAGAGCGAGATTATCAGCACGGCCGAGACGCGGGCTGTCGTCAGTGATTTGCTTGAGACTGTCACTGGTCATGCGCAGGCTGTCATCCGCCGTGAGACAGGGGCTGTCTGTTTCTGTCTTGAAACTGTCATCTGCAGACGTTGTTTTCAATCCTGATTCCATGAGAATTGTGCTATTTTTAGGAATGGCTTGTATTTCACAGTATATTCTCGATTGAGTATCTTCATTCTTTAATTTTTCTTCACTTATGTAGGAATCATCTTTTTTATCATTATGCACAACATATACAGATTTTAATCCAGCCAGTTCATTGACTTTTTTCATTGCTGGAAGGCCAACATCATCAGTTCTAGAACATTTTGCTACCTCGGCACCAGCAAAAGTTCGCGCCTCAATCGTTCCTGACATTATAAAGGCAACTTCCCCTAACGAACTGCTGCAACTTTTCCTCCCAAGCACGTCACGGGAATCGTTCAAATTTGACTCACTCTCCCGCGTGGTGCAAAGGTGGCTTGAGGAAACCTCTGACAGGGAGCTTGAAGATCTGGAAGAGGCCATCAATGAAGACAAGGAGGCACAATAACCAAGCCCCGGTGACTCATAACAGACAGGAGGTGAAGCAGACATGGCATGGGTGCGCATTTCTGTTACAATTCCATGCTCCCTTTGTTCAGAATTATCCGACGAACCAGAGTGAGTTTCTTCACGGGCTGCGAAGTTGTGCTGGGATTTTGTGGTGCGTAGTGATGCAGTTGAATGTACAGGTCCTGAGTAAGCTTCAGCACACGCACGGGTGCAGTCAGTTTTAGGAGATTCTTTATTAAAAGGTACAACAGGCACAACTGACGAGTCTGCAACAGTACATAACTTATTAGGCGGTGCAAAAGATTTTCCAGATGTGTTCAGCTCAGCAACTCTAGACTTTGCAGTTTCCATTACAATCTCATCTTGCTGCAACGATGCCTGTTGCTGCTCTTTTATGTCAGAAAAAAGATCCACGAGGAGCTCCGCTACTTCTTGCTTGAGCTTCATCTCGTGCGCCCCATGTGATGCAGAGCCCACAAACTTGATGTAATCAATAAGCTTGTGGTACGCACTGCCTTCTAGAGAAGCTTCGGAAGAATTCAGCACGAGGCCTTGCAGGTGATGGAGCAGCTGCTCAGACAAATGGCTAAGCACGGTGTTCACACTTTCCAGCTCTGGAAGGTCCAGTTCAATGGTTTCCAGATCATCTACTTCCACGGCAACGTTCATTGAGTCATGTTTTGATTGAGTGTCGTTATTAAGCAGTAATTTTGTCATTTCTGATGGTTCTTCTAAGTCAGTTTTCATTACAGTAGGTCTCGATGGAATTTCTTCAAGCTCCGATTTTTTATTCAGAGTTTCTCTATCTTCACAAAGAATACCACGTGAATCGGGGACGAATGCAGCCGAGTCAAAGTACATCTTTGGCACGTTAGACCCACGATCAAAGTGAGTTGAGTCTAACTCAACGCAATTTAATGCTGATTTTTGACCAAGCAAGGATTCGTTTTCTTCGACTGGTGATTTCACACGACCATCCAAAGACCCACCGAATGTGTGGGGAGACGTTGATTGGCCTAAAGCAGCATCAGCTATAGGATACTGAGTGAGGTCAGTAGCAGGAGAAAATACAAACGATTGCGAACATAAATTCGTAGTATTTGATGACTGAACGAGTTTTAGGGGAGTGCGATTTGGTGAGGAGTCTGCACTTGCTTCCAAACGTTCAAAAATTTCTGTAGACTTGTGTGATGTTCTACAAGTTGGAACAGTGCTCTTGACAGCCTCCGTGCCATGGGAATTAGGTTTACTAGCAGATCTTCTATCAGAACTAGAATGAAAATCAGGTGCAGAAATACTTTCTTTAGTGCGAGCAAGATTTGTGTTCAAGCTGATCTCTTCGTTATACTTGCGATAGGAATTTTCAGTTGAATTTTTTGCAAACATATCAATATTTTTAGCAGTAATAGACATTTCTTGTTGGCTGGAACTATGCATTTTACCCATCTCGAGAGTTGAACTACTTCTTAATTCATTGAGGCTGCAAGATTTCAAGTGTGGATGAACGAATTTAGCTGCAGTTTTCATAACAGTTGGGGAAAAGTGACTCGCAGATGAATATTTGTTAATCCTTTCCCGGTCTACCACAGAGCGTTTTTTAGGTTTTCTGCGCAGACTACTACCAGTTCTTGGTCTTGAAAATTGGTCTTCCTCACTGGAGTAAATGTAAATATTTCTATTGGATTTGAAATGATCTTTTTGTGGCAGAGATATCTTGGATGCAAGTCGCGTTTTCTTGAGTCCTTCACAACCAAATTGATCCCTGGCATCAGTAGATGAAGCATGAAATTTTCTTGCAGATTTCTCCTGAGCCAAATGTTTCCTCCTACTCAACACCACTCGCCGAGAATCATCTGGGGCAATGTTGCTAACAAATTTCCCTATAGTGAGACGTTCAAGCGTACTCAGTGATGAAGTGCTGGAATGTTTCTTGTTGGCAACCCCACCATACCCAACGTCTGCAGCAGAGTCCCATTCAAGTCTTTTACTTGAAGCTGCTGATGAAATTGAAAAAAGCGAAGGGGAAGTTTCTCTTTCTGACGATTCAGGAGGTTGTGTGGACTCAACTGACATGAGTGATGCCAGAGATATCTCTTGCTCACTGACGACAGTTAGAGGAGCTATATAAGCACTCAACTCTGTGAGCTTGCGTCTCGGCTCAGCACTGTTACTGTTCCAACTGAATTCAGAAGACTGATTTACAACGCTATCTCCTGTGTTTAATTTTTGAGAAGCTGATTGTTGACTTAATATACCACCAATCTCGAAATTTGGTTTCAAAGTTTCAGTACTCAATGAGGATGACTCAATGTTACTTGTGTCTAAGAAGGCAGGTGACAGATTATCAGCGTTTGAGTCACATTCAGAAGAGTGCATCATGAATACAGACACCGGAGAAGCAATATTTTCAGTGTCTATGTCTTGTTCAGGAGAGGAGCTAGGGAAGGGAGTATTTGAGTAGCTGGAACAAGTCTGATGATCATATTCATGACTTTCAAGTTCTTTGCAGACTTGAGGTTTACTTATGACAGTGCTTGTGCTGTCAGTGTTTTCTGATTGACTGCCCAATGAACTGGATTCCTTGTCAGCTAACTTCTTAGAATGAGTCAGGAAATCTGACAGACTAAGATCAGATGGTTTAGCAGAGAGATGCAAGGAGCCAGATGATTTCATGTGTAAGTTTTTTGAAGTTAAAATTTGCTCATCTGCAACAGATTTGCTGCAAAACAATCCATGCTGTGTAATGCATGAAGCTACATTTCCATGAGGTCTTATTTTATATTCCTGATTAACCGCAATTGAAGAAGAAATTGTTGGAACAGATTTGCCTCCAAGTTTTACTGTATTTTCCGAGTTTGACTGTGTCCTTCTTGTCATTAATTTTGCAGCACCACATTGATTTCCAAATGCATCTTGTGAGCAGGATTTTGTCTTGGATCTTGGGACAGTTTGCTTCAGTTCAACAAAATCAGAGGCATTGTCCAGTACTGAACATTTAAATGTGTTTGTGGCAGCATGACCAGGGCCACAGACTTCATGTGTTTCAGGCCCCCCTGGCAATTTTGTGGCCCCTCTGATGCAAAACATATCAGGATGATCAGTAATTAATTTAGGTGCAGGAAGCTTGGCTGTAGAATCATAGTTAAATATCCTCTTGTTTTCCTGATAATTTGACTTGCAAGAAATAACATGATTATCACTGGAACATGTATTTGTGCTTCTTAACATTTTTGTTTCTTGGTCACCTTTGATAGGTGAAACGCTTTCCGCATGTGAAAATTCATCCGCATTCCTAGCGACACTGAACTCTTGCTTTTCCAGACTCATTTGTTCAAGATTTGGAGCTAAGGCTCCAGTGATGGAAGACTGTTGACTGCTGTGCAGGTATACTTCAGGAAGGCCAGCACCCCCATCCATCTGGAATAACACAGTATGGTTAATGAAAATATTAGGAATAATTCAGATTAATAAAACAAATATTAGATAAATTAGGTAATTAAATAAAGCTAATTCATCTTATGTTACAAATTACTATGTTACATTAATTCAATTATAATATGATTTTTTCACTTTATTTTGATGGATGTTATTACATGAGCAAATAGAAATATTTAATAAAGTTAATATGAGAGTCCATCAAAAGATAATTTAAATTTACTAAATAGAATAAGTCACATCTATCACCATTAGTCATATACAGTAACCAGAATAGGGACTTGACTTTAGTACAATTTCTCGGCATTTAACTTACAAGAAATATTGGCTACTGCCAATTCAGCAGTTCAGGAATATTCATAATAGCCGAACAAGGCTTGTTTGAGAAATATTTGCACGAGTAGCAAGAAATAATTTACAGCAGGTTTCTTGATCACATTTCAAGCCACTACACAAAGAGAGATGAAAGCTGAAAAGGAACAAATTGCTCATAAATCATTAGGATAACTATTTAAAATTGTTCCACAACTCTTCAGGAGCCTGAACTGTTAGCTCATTAATCGTGAGGCTAACCATTTGAGTATGTTTCATAACTCTTCAGGAGTCCTTACACTTAGATCATAAATCACAATACGTAATAAGCATTTAAATTTTATCACTTTTCAGGAGCCTGAACAATTAGCTCATAAATCATGATACTACGTAACCATTGAAATACCATTCATGACTCTTTGAGGCCCAACTTTAATGCCAATTAAATCCAATTTGTTGATAGGCAGTGGCATGGAATATATCTAGGTACTTTTCATGCTACAACTGGAGATTTTGTATCATATTTGGAGCCATGTGATTCCCACTGGATGAATTATAAATTTCTTATCTGATTGTTAATGAAAGCACACAATCAAGCTGCAAGATTCCAAAATAATAAATAATATGTCACTTAGAAGCCAAGAAATATCAGTATTAAGGCAAAAGTTTTCAATCTAGCACCATTCAAGTAAATATTAAAAGAACTTGGGCTTTTAGGATATTGGGGCTGAAAGCCATAAAGAGTGTTCCTGCCATTTCAGGATCCACAAGATTCCTGCTCATGATGGCAAATGAAAGCCTCTTCTTATTACAACACTTCTCTTCAACTTCACTTCTTGTTTGTTTGTCTGTCTGTCTGTTACAAATCTTATAATCGATATTTAACACACTTCTACCTCTCCAATTGATCTGAAATTTTGCACACGTGCATAAAGTCGGAGACAATGCATGAATCTACTAACAGATATCATAATTTTATAAATAAAAAATTTTTTAATTAAAAAAAATTGGAAAAAATTTATCTTCTAAAAATCTTATAATCGATATTCCACACACTTCTACCTGTCCAATCGATCTGAAATTTGGCATATTTGTGTAAAGTCGGAGACAATGCATGAATCTACTAACAGATAACATAATTTTATAAATAAAAATTTTTTAATTAAAAAAAATTGAAAAAAATTTATCTTCTAAAAATCTTATAATCGATATTCAACACACTTCTACCTGTCCAATCGATCTGAAATTTGACACACTTGCGTAAAGTTGGAGACAATGCATGATTCAATTGACATAATAAATCATTTTGATAAATTTATATTTTTTTTATTTTGAAACAAAAATTAAAAATAATTTTTTTAATAGTTGATAATAAAATTAGAAATTCATTCTACATTTGCAAAATTGCAGACACTGAATTATTTAGAAGTGTTGTCTTTAAAAAGTTATTTTCAAATGCATATTTTTTGTACGACACTTCTCTTTAAGAGTCCCGTGGAGCGGTCGGTGAACGCAGCATCGAGCCCAAACGGCCTCACGTGGTTAAAATTTCTCGGCCAGGCTCTGCCACATCCTACGTCTGGCTGCACACTTGCCCTCCTTCGCTTCCCCTTCTCGACATTTTTAATCAGCAAGCGACATACTACTAATTATTCTACGAAATTTTACTCTACTATCAAATTGGTTGTTTTCTTACTAATAACCTTTATTGAAAATACGCGTTCATAATTTACGGCAATGCTGTGTCGTGATAGTACAACCAAGTTAATTTAGGCTGTTTCATAAAAGCATGTGTAAAGATCGCTCGAGCATAAATACTATAATTACATGTCAATAAAAATGCATATAAGTCACGAAGCATCAACAGTAATGTGCAAAAATGTGTCATGGCAATTATTATTTAAATTAAAGCTTTGAATGCTTTCATTATTTAATTTTATGACACCCAAAGCAATTTGTTGTGAATATTGTCGGCTTTCAAATTCCTGTAAAAATGAGTACGCAGTTCACGCCTATTCAGTAGAAAGCCAGCTTCCAATCTTTGCATCTCGTCACAATCGCGCCATGCGGCGAGGAGGGTTGCTTTAGACTTGAGAGGAACTCAACGATGGGGAAGCGGGGGAACTTAGGGANTCATAGCATAGCACAGTATAACAACATAACACATTATAACATTGCACAGTATAACAACATAACATAACACATCATAACATAGCACAGTATAACAACATAACACATCATAACATAGCACAGTATAACAACATAACACATTATAACAGCACAGTACAACAACATACCCCTTTATAACATTGCACAGTATAACAACATAACACATTATAACATAGCACAGTATAACAACATAACATGTGATAACATGTCACAATATAACCCAACACATTATAATGCAACATAATATGTTGTGTTATATTATGTTCTGTTGTGTTGTAATTTGTATTTTTATCTTATGATGTATTCTATTATGTTGAGTTATAATGTGATCTGATATATTATATTGTGTTATGCTACGTTGTGTTACAATGTGTTGTATCGTGTGTGATTGTGTTATAATCTTTGATGCTATATTATGATGTGCTATATTGTGCTGGGTTGACTTATGATGTCTTATAATGTGTTTTATTAGGGTATGTTTTGGTATCATTTGTTTTGTTGGTTTACGTTTTGTTATAATGTATTGTGTTACGTCATTAATATGTGTCATGTTATGTTATGTTGTGTTAAAGTGTGTGGAGTTATGTAATGTTGCTACATTATAATGTGTTGGAATACGTGCTAGCAATGATATTTTTTTTTATAATGTGTTGTGTTATAATGTGATGTCATGTTATGGTCTGTTATAGTGTGTTGTGTAGTGATATGTTGTGACAAGTGCAGTGCTGTTGTGCAGTGATATTTTGTGTTGCTATGTGTTGTGTTATGTAGTGTTACCATATTTTGTGTTATTTTGTGTTGTGAAAGATGCTGCGTGTTATGCCACATTGATAGTCAGGCATCTGCATCAGTGTTCATCATCAGACATCAGTCACATCAATTGTGTAGCACACGCATCTCTGTTGATCATCAGGCATCAGCCACATTGATTGTAAAGCACGTGCATCTCTGTCAATCATCAGACCTTGGTCACATTGATCATAAAGCATGTGTGTCTCTGTTGATCATCAGGCATTGGTTACTCTGATCACAAAGAGCCAAGAGCGTGCATCAGTGTCAATCATTGGGCATTGGCTAAATCAAACGTAAAGTGCATGTATTTGCATCAATCATCAGGCATTGGCATCAATTGTAAAGAGTGCGCATCAGTGTTGATTGTTGAGTATCGGCCACTTTGATTGCAAAAGCCTGCATCAGAGTTCACCACAGGGCATTGGCTATATTGATAGTAAAGCATGTGTGTTTGTGAGTTGTGACAATCGTCAGGCATCAGACACATCAATCATAAAGTGTGTGTGCCTGTGTCAATCATGGGGCATTGGTGAGGGTTACACTTTTGTTCTTAGCATGCATATTGGCAACTTTCTTCCCTGGCGTACATCCCAAAATAAACCTTCAGGCTCCAGCATACACACTGCACTGCACCTTCCTGACCATGGATCCTGAGAAGAGCAGTGCAAGTTTGGTAATTCAAACTTTGATGAAACCAAAGCTGCCAACGCAACAGTGCTGACTGCTGACAGTGACTAAGTTACTTAGGAATATGGGTTGTAGTCTTTTGTAGAAAATCACCAGTGTCTTTTGGCAGATTCAGGCACTATAACTTGATAAGGATGGAAAAAATTTGCAATATGTAAAATTATCATTTTGTTATTTTTCTCTCCTTTACAGTTAAAGGTAGCTTCTGGGGAGTTGAGGCCTTTTGGGCTTTTGCCAAATCTTGATTTAAAGTAAACTCACTAACGTAGAGGGTATTTACTATTTGGTATATAAATGGCATTGAATGATTGGAAGATACTATATCCATTGGTGAACCATTGCATCAGTCCATGCCTCCATGGGATGTCCAGGGATGAAATAATGATGGGATGAGGTGATAGGCCCATAGGCATGAACCATAGACCACACAGTCCACACGAGTCCGATTGAGTAAAATAGCTATGAAAGAAAATATTCTCAGTTTAGTCAACAACAGTCAACAATTAACCCTTTACCGCCAAATCAGACTTTCATGTAGCCTTTAAAAAACTATCAGTTTTCTACTAATTTCACGTTTTCTTTCATTTTTTCAAAAAATTCACACGAATAAAAAAAGTCTTAGATTTATTTTTTACACATGTGTACCAAGTTTCAAAGTTATCTGTCTGTAAATAACGTAAATAAAATTTCCAATTTCCAATGGCAATTTCCAATTTCTTGTGGAAATTTTATTTTGGTTATTTATGGATGGATCACTTTGAAACTTGATACACATATGTAAAAGATAAATCTAAGAACTTTTTGTTCGTGTGAATTTTTCAAAAAAAGGGAAAGAAAACATGAAATTCTTAGAAAACCGCCAAAAAGGGAGTACTGTAGAAATCTACCTCCTCCTAGGATTTTCAAGCTACAACATTGAGATGCATATCATTTGATGCGTAAGGACCATATCTATCGATTGGTCCTTGCTGTTTTTCGAAATTCTGATTTTTGTGGGTGGGGTGGGCAATGGCCATTTTTCAAAAAAAATTTGATTTCTCCTCCCACCCTTTCAAATATCCCCCCTTTTTTAAAAAATATTTTCAAAACTATAATGAAATTTAAAAAAAGCTACAACCAATCTCTAGATATTTTATTTGCATATCAAACAATATATTTTCCATTGCTGTGGCTTAAAAACTCTAGGAGGAGATAGGTTAGCAGTGACAAACTGACAATAAGTGTGAATCTTCAGTAGTGCGCGGGCTGTGTGGCAAAGTCCCGAGCGACTCGAAACAAATAGGCATTCAAGGTGGCTTGGATTATATCATTATGGATACAAGACTATATGTCACTGGAGCTGAAATTCAGTCAAAAATGGTGGGAACAACTGCATGAGCACCATCCCACAGACCACAGTCATGACAGCAGCCGGGTAACTAAAGATCACTTAGATCAGCGTCTTAAGGTTGTCTATTTATGTGCCCGCCCCGGCCTGTAATTTTCGCCTATATTAAATGTGAAAGAACTCCCCCACCCCTAACAATTCCGCGAACTGTCATCATTATAAATAGTGGCAAACCAGAGATTTTTTAGAATCAGTTCATTTTTAATTTCCTCTTTTACTCAATATTTAAACCAATTTCTTATGTATGATAATTGATAATGCTGGTATCCATGATACTTTACGTTTACTGGTCTACTTATAGTACTCAAAATTGAACTTGAGGGCGAGTCTAAAAAACTCTCTGCTTTGCCAAATGCCAATACTCGTCAAGCGGTCAAGGCATACCTAGGTAAATCAACGTACAGAGATAATTTTGGTACCATTGGATAGGTGAGAATGTCAGCTTTAAGGTGAGACTAAGACCCAAAAAAGTGAAATTTATGATTTTTGTCCCAGAAATTTGGGCAGTAAAGGGTTAAACCTCAAGAAACAAAGCCCATATTGATAACTGATATTATGGTATCCAGGTATCATTATTGGCCTAAAAAATGAAATGGTAATATGTAGATGGGTTTGGAGTGTAGTCTTGGCTTCTTGGTTTTTGCAGGTCTTCCGATCACCGGCGAGTCTGAAGGGAAGCCGTCGAATTCTGCTAAATCGGAGATGTTTTCGCTAAAAGGGTCTACTGACATTCCTGATGAAGACTCAGCCATATTTTCAGCCGCTTACACTGAACTACCTAAACGGAAAAGATTTTCGGGTAAGCACGATAGCACAGACACAGACACGTGTTTCTTCCACCACCTCAAGATTGAAACTCGAATGTTTTGTTCTTCGTTACGCTAAGAAATTTGGAATAGGTACAGTTTGGCAAGGTGATTGATTGGCGAGGAGTGCAACTTGTTATACGAGTTGATTAAATATCTGTAGTGTCCTCAAACCCAGCGTAACATACTAACATTTAATATTGTACATAATTATGCAAGTCAATTTTATGGAGTGTTTCACAGTACTTGTACATCTTAGGAAGTACAGACATTTTTGATGGAATATGCGCTAATTTTTTGATGTTTGATACATAATACTGATTTTAGAAGACGAGGAAGTAAAATTTTACCTGCATGCTAGAGCAAAGCAAATCTCAACTCCACACTCCATTTCATATCCGTGAGTATGCACGCTACAGGGCTTAGTAGCTTAAAACGTTAACTGCTTAAAGTTAAAAGTCATCATGAACAAATTAATAGGGTCTAGAAAATTACAAGAACTTCCGCAGCCAATTGCAGCTAAGCTCGCCGGATCAGCAGGAAGGTTGCTTCCTCATTGGAGCCAAAGTTCATTGAAAACAGATAGCTGTCACGAGATGGGTGACGAAGCAACGAAGTTTCGGCTAGGCAGCTGTAACGATAGAGCGACATAGCAGCGTTGTGTCGTTAAGCAGCTGTCGCGACACGAGACATGAAACAGCGTGGTATCGTTGCAGCAGCTGTCACGAGACGAGAAATAAAAAAGTGATGTGCCGTCAATGCAGCAGCAATAAAATGAGCGACGAAGCGGTAAGGTGTCGGAAACGCAGCGGTCAGCAGATGAGAGACGAAGCCCTGGCAGAGTACGTAACAGTCACTAACGGAGTGCCGAACAAATGGGTCAGCGTACCAGGGCAACAGTCTCGAGTGGAGTGGAGTCAAAGAGGCAGGTACAGTGTAGTATAGCTTATGCCGTATATTTCGAATTACCAAGTTTGCAAATTTCCATGGGAGCTCAAGGCTTGACAAGGTGCTGAAAATTTATAGAGAAAGTTGTCAGTTCGCATTTTCTACATCTCGTCTGCCTATCCTCGAATGATGTGAGTACCAAGACAATAAATACTAGAGCTAATTATGCAGAGTTATACAAATATCCTCGGCGTCTCCATCGTGGTACACCTTACGCATGTGCAGACGCAGCTACGTCCATTAAGGACAGAGCTCTTTCCGAGGCTGGATGATCCGACAAAGCATAATTATTATTATTACTATTATTCCACGAAGAGATTGTCGTGGCGTCTCGTTCAGATCTAATTTCGAGGGCACGTTACAAGTGGCTAAAAAAGTCACGAGAGGATAAAAATAGATGACGTCTATGCTAAAACAGAGGACATATGCCAAGACTGAAGACGTCTATGATACATAATGATACATTAATAGTAAATGATCGTCAGCTTTTGTTTGGGCAATGTGATTAGTACTATAAAAAGAAATACCACAATTGTTTTTTGCTATTAATTCTACACACACTACCCTTCTCTGTCTGGCACTAGACGTGGCCCTCAGCTAATCTTTCCAAGTTGCCATCTCTAACCTCGTGATAATGAGGCAAACAATGCGAAGAAGCCTGTGGATTGCAAAGAAAATGTTCGACGTAGTAATAAAAGGGCTTTTGAATGCAATGCTTACGTCAAATATCGAAGCTGGGTCGTCACAAATTTCAAACTTGACTCTCCGCTACATGTTAGGAAAATTAACATCGCCAGCCACTTAATTTTAGCTTCCTAACCATCAAAGTAAGGTCTTCGATTTTACGTAAATAGTGAATTCAGCAGGATAAATAACATCTTTCTATCCAGAATATCAGTAAAGATGTATTCATTTCTATGCACCAATTTCAGAACTTCAGGTATACAGATATATGGCGAGACCCTACGTACCAAGAAGGATATACAACTGCTTTACAATATTCTAAGCAATAATACGTTTCAACAGAACACAATATATCATTTCCTCGGTTACATGCGGATTAAACTCTCCAATCGCCCAAAAACCAACACAAAAGCATTAAAATTGTCACGAAACTACGTCCTCACAGCATGCACCTGTCATAAAAAACGTTCCAGTTGCCACTTATATCATAGAATATAAATTAAATAATATCTAACAAATTCAATTAAATTTTCTTCAAACGCAAATCGTTGCATTGACAGAGGAAAACTGAAAAATAGACTAGTATGCCATAAGCTACGAATGAAACAAACAACGAAAGAGATTATTCTAAGAATAAGAAATTTACTGGAATTTATGATAACGAACTCTATTAGATTATCAAAGCGCGACCAAAATAGTTAAGGGTATCTTAATAGTTACATTATCGCTCTTCATTAGTGAAATTGTGAACGAAATTTTACAGTTGTCACCACAAACAGAATAGTGTAGGGAATGACAACTCCTGATCTTCTAACACACGATTGACTTTGGTCACTCAATAAATACAAATAAAATAAAAGATAGACTACAACATCATGAGGAATTTTCCTGTTCAACCCAATTACTGATATGAAGTGACAAATGAAAGTGATATTAATAGTGGTAGAAGTTCTATTGTCAAATAAACGGAAAGGAGAAATAATACTTTATCCTAGTTAATAAAACCTAAAAATGCTTGACATTTCAGGATAGCGTAACAACACTGAACAGAAAAATGCAATGAAAAACATTTATAAATGTATCATAATAAAAATGCATTAGGCAGATAAGGGGAGGAGGCTACTTTCATGGGAAATATTGGCATATCAAAATAAAAAAAGTAAAAAGAAAAAGAGGCTTTGTTGGAACTGCTTTCAATAAACAAAGAAATTGAGAGAAAAGACTGATTTTCTCCATCAGAAAAAAGACTGATAACTGTTGTACTTTAACCTCCAACTAACTAAACCCGTCTCTAGAGTAATGGATGTTCAACTACCATCGGACGACTCATCAGCACTTGTAAGTAACCCAGGCAGCGAGGAGTTCTCTATGTCAGGTAGAAGAATTGAATTTTCACAACTTGGCACCGAACTGCAGGTTTTAGTTTTCTGTGTTTCATTTTCTGTTACTATCAAGGGCGAGCTGTTGCAACTTGCTGCACATGTGACTTCAGCTGAACAGTCGGATATGTCGCTCTGAGAAACTGGAGATATTGTATCGACAGCTTTCAATTCGAGTTCTAATGGCGACTGAGGAACAGTGCTATCAATGGAAACTGTGCTGTTCTCCAAGACTACATTAGAATTCGAAACAACAGAGGGAGTATAAACATCGTTTGAAGAGGAAATTCCATTCAAAATTGAGCCAGATTTTTTTTGCCATTCGGGAATCTTGAAAGCAACAGGTGGAGGAGCTGTGAAGTTTCCTCTGTTGAGTACCATGGAGCGGATGGAGCTGAGATCTTTTTCAATTTGATCCACAGACTGGGCGAGGGCTTGTAGATTTTTGGGCTGTGCCTTCTAAAAAGAAATTACGGTCATGTTTTAGCATTATCATCAGATTTTCCCATTCCCAACCAGGAAAGAGAAATTTACTCCCAACTATATAGAATAAAAAAGAAGCAAGATATTAGGTGATCTCGTACGATATAACTAGGGAGGAACACTTGTTTATAAGCAGACAGAAAATTATGAAATATGATCGTTTGTTCAATTAGTTTTCACATTAATTAGAAGTTGATAGCTTATTAAAATTAACAAGTAAACAAACGGGGGCGCGAAGAATTGTGTACCTAAGTGTAACATGGTAATGGGGGCGTAATAATGCTATACTCCCATTACGACCTCAAATGAGTCATATACAGAAACCTAGAATGGCACGATTTTCCATAGAACGCACCTGAACAGCATCCATGCACGTAGCTACCGACTGGCTCAAAGTCACCACAGTTGACTGCAGACGAGCAAGGTTGTCAGCCAGCACTTTATGCTGTCTGACAAGCTCTAGCTCCACACTTTCCTTACGATCTTGACCAGTTAACCAAGGCTCCAAGTAATGCTGAAAAACATTGATTTCAATTAATTTTAGAATTTGATATGAGATTCATCTATAACAAATACTACATCAATAACAGTGGCAAATAATAAATAAATTACCTTTCAAACTATCCAATTGTTACCTAATTTTCATTCAGACTTTCATGACAGAACACAAAAGTATTTTGATCACTTCAGACAAGTTTAACTATGTACAAGAATAGTTCAGTGTCACTAAATTATGAATCAAAAGAATAATTGCTACAAATAAGTAGGTTTTATTACACTTTATTTATTAATAAAAAATTTGAGCATTATTTAATGATGGTTAATTTAAATATTCAATTCACTAATGGAAAGTTTGTTTTAAAGGGATTTGCTATCATCATTTAGAATGAGCTGACTTTAAAAAAATGACACCAGTTTAAGCCTTGATAATTGAAAATAAACACATTCAACAAAAATGTGAATGTGCCTCCATCCAAAAATGCTCCGTACAGCAGTCAATCAAGTATGGTTTAAAGAACAACAAAGGTTAAAATAGTCTTGAATAGAATAGTCAATAATAAAAAACACCATGCACACCTTATATAAAAATTGCAGACCATAAAAGGACCCCAGAGCAAAGAATGCAATGCTGAAAAAGTTCTTGAGTCTTGTCAAAACTCTGCAAATGCCAGAAAACAATGAACCACTGCCAAGCTTGACTTCAGCAATTCTTCTTGATGCTGGAGATGACAGAACCTGGAATAGCAAAGTAAATACATGAGAGGAGATCACTTCTATGAATGCAATAATTTAGGATAAATATACACAGAACACCATGGGTATGTCCCATCAAAGAACTTGTTATTGGCCAAAAGTCACCTATGAGTTGTGAAAAAGTGTGCATTAATTTTAAAGTAATTGAAAATGATTACACACACATTTATGAAATAAATATTAAAAAACCTAGAGTTAGTTTCAGGAAACCAAAAGTTCTTCATGTACATCCATATCACCTAAATTAAATAGCTGCTGGAAAAGAAGTTGATTACAAAATATATATATACTGAAAGTTGTATTAGTTATAACCCAAAGAGATGGTTCTATTTTTATTTATTCAATTTAGTTTTCCATCTTTACAATGAATAGTGTTCTCATTATCAATTACATATCAATCATTAGATTGATATCTTGTCAAGATCACCTTAACTGGATTATGGTGTTCTAGAGAGTGAGTAGTATGATGGTTTGCTAGCGCTTCAGCTATCAAGTAATTTTACACCAGAGATCCAAAATATAACATTGCCAGCAAGCCTGCAAGGCAGAAAGTCTAGGTTATTCAAAATCTCAAGTTAATCATCACCCACAAGGGGCAGAAGGTCTCAGTTGTCCAGCCCGCTGAAGCTGGCTTGAAAGAAGCAGCGTTAGCATCTCAAAGAGATGAAGTGACAAGGACTCAAGGAGGGACAGGTGAAAAGCAACATAAACTAAGACACTTGAACAAGAGGTTGCTTACAAGGGACGTAGGCCTCCTGCACAAGAGAGACAGTCAGACAGAGAAGGAAATGCAAGGTATCCTACATTCCTACCTACATAATAACTCACCCCACAACTACGTAACGATGTGTACGTAAACGATGTCTGTCCCATATGGAGTTGACTCTTCAACTAATTCGAGTATCTTGGCAATATTAAGTTAATGCCGCGCCAAAGCTGTAATAATTTTACGTATGTGTCTTTAGGCGTCTATGGATTTGGTAATTATCCGATAACTGGCCCGACTGAGCTTGGATCTGTACCCAAAGTGAGAAATATAAAATATTCAAATTCTACAGTTTTGAAGTGGTTGTTATAATTTCCCTTATGTCGGACTGGTGATTTCCGAATTAATTTATTGGCCAATAACTGCTGCAAATGAACGTGTATATGCAGCAAAGTCGAGAAATGCGTTAATTTTGCCCCTGCAGAGTGGCAGTAACAATTTCAGTTACAGTATTTGCGTTTAGTCTTTGTATTGTCGTTTAGTCTTTTCTGTCTTTTCTGATTTTGCGTTAGTCTTTTCTGATTCTGATCGGTATTTATGGATTTATGACTGGGTAAGTTGAAGGTGAAGTTAGGTTTGCCTCTTGAGATCGCGCTTGAGTTCGCGCTTGAGTTCGCTGAAGTGTCGATCCGGTGATTGAAATCTTGATACGTTATCGCTATTAAATTTTAATACAATTTTGAAATTAATTTTAATACAATTTTATTTTCGCTCCTATCATATGATGCTCATTTATACCAGCTGCAGCTGTAGAATTAAATTAAAATAAAATACAAATAATTCNCTGATAGGATCATGATCTCATGCTATCCAGGTTATGACTGGTTATGGGATCATGATGTCATGTTATCCAGGCTGTGATTGGCTAAGCAATGGCTGTTCCATTGGTCATTTAAAACCCCCTAGAATTTCACCTTCTAGAATTTCACCTTGCGCTAGAGTCGCGCACACTTAAGCCTAACCCTCGAACTGACGCAATATATCTACTCTCTGAGCAACAATTACAGTTTTCCAAAATTTGTGGAGCCAGAAGTATCCTGCCTAATAAATTAGCTAACAATTGTTAATGGAAGTGCACAGCATAATCAAGCAATAAAATTTCAAATATAAAAAAAATTAAAATATTCTTTAGGAGCTATGAGACTACAGTATTAAGTAGGAAATTTTCAATCTCAAAGTAATTTATTGAATAGAACACCAAGAAGAATCATGCAGTTTTTGCATCTCCAGAATAAACCTTAGCCAACCTTTACTCATACTTATGCGACAGTGCTGATTATAATTTGCAACTTCCACCCAATCAAGGCATTGTATGTATCAGGTGCAGACTGTAGTTTTTTGGGACTTTAAACATCTTATGATATTCAGGCCTTCAGCACCCTTAGCATGGAAAACATCTACCTTTAGGGTCATGACTAGAGCTTTTCTGCCATTTTTGGAGCATCAAGATTCCTGCTAGATGAATTACCTACCTCCCATATAATTGTTAAAGAAGTGCACAATTTGGCCACAAGATTCCAATTGCATAATAAATTTGTCACTTTGAAGCCACTAGATTCCATTCATAGGTAGAGAAATTCCAATCCAGCGAGCATGCCAGTTTTCATACATAACCCTAGACCCTAGGGTGCAATAAATTTATGAGACTAGTTTTTTCAAGCCTTGACTACTTGAATTTAATAAATTACTAGGGTAGGTACTTATATATAGGGCAGTTAGTGTTAAACTATAATGAACAGGGAAGTAAACTTTAAACTGATTGAATACTCACCATATCCTCACGAATATTTTCTTGACATTCTTCAATTGCAATGACAGACATGTCTTTTTGCAACTCATTTTGAAGCTCAATAGGAGCTTCATCAGAACATCCTTCACCAAGCATATCACCATGCCCATCTTTGTCCATTAGTTTTTCTTCTTTTATAGGAGTTTTGAACAGTTCTTGACCATTTTGAATAGAATTGTGTCCTGTCATGGTGCTAATTAAAACACCAAGTTAAGAACTAAAGGCCCTGAAATAAAAAAGGGTAATACTCTATTATATGGCATTCTGTTGTATGCTGGTTGGTGGTTACAGTTCAAGCTATAGCCAAGGTATGAAGTGATGTTTTGATGTACTGCTCTGTGGCAGATGTCCAATACACTCTAGTCTGGGCTATTGCTATTCACTCACATGTATGGTGGTGTAAACACTATAAAGTCCATAACATTCAAAACAAGATCATTTCAAGGGCTGGTTATTGACAGGAGGCTTTATCCTCGGCTGATTGGTGGTCTTATGAAAATATGCTAGGCATTCCATTCAGGGCTGATTAGTGCGCAAAATTGGTGGTGCATGACTGCACTCCCAAGTTGCCTATCACCTTTACTCCGCAGACTGGATCTGCCCTACATGCAGACAGTCTGACCCCATCCCAGCCAGACCCCCCTCCCCCTCCCTTCACCCTCCAGCCTCCCTCCTTGCTGGCCCCCTCCCACCTTTGCGTCCTCCAGTTTAACTGCAACAGGATCCAATCCAGTGCAGTTGAACTAGCTACTTACCTCACCAAGAATGACGTGGCGGTTGCTTGTATCCAAGAAACCAAGCTATCCACTGCATCCTGCTCCCCCTCCTTCCCCGGATATGCACTGGAGCGCAGGGACCGCCCCGGAGGTCACGGCGGCGGTCTCCTAATCTTAATCCGCCATGATGTCCCCTACTTTGGACAAGACATCTCCCCCTTCCTATGCGGTGACACCACCATGAAGGCTATGGCAATCTCCACTCCTCTTAATGGCTCACCTCTCTGTATCATCAATGTATACAGCCAGCTGGCCTCCTCCTGCCCCCCGGGATACTCCCCGGAGCTTGCAGACATCATCTCCATCCCGGAAGACTGCCTGATAGTGGGCAATTTTAATGCCCACCATCCCTCTTGGTTCTCCCACACGGATGACCAGAGAGCCGCAGCGCGAGGAACCGCAGTTGACAACCTCGTCACTGGTTCCTCCCTCGCCTACCTCAATGAAGGCTCCCATACCCACCTCCCCTCCCATGGCCCACCCTCCTCTCAGGACCTCGCCATCAGCGGTCACCTACTCCTCAGCACCTCCTGGACTATTCAAGTCACCCTCAACTCTGACCACCTGCCCATCCTCATCCATCTCCCTTCCTCTGCTGATTCCTTGACCCCCTGGGCCACCTGCTCCTATGTCAACTTTAAAAAAGCTGACTGGCCCGCTTACACGGCAGTTGGCAGCCATCAAAGCGGTGCTCGAGATGGTCCCTCCCCCCATCTTGTGTGCTGGGGAGTCGACCTTAAGGGAAGTCCTGACGACCGCTGCCAGACTTCATACCCCAGCTGGATTCAGCAAGGACTTCTCCCCACCAGTCAATCCTAGCACCCAGTTGCTCATACATTGGGGCGAGCAACCCAACCGACCCCCGGCTCCCAGAACTCAACCTGGAAATAGGCATCTCCATACAGGCCCATGCCAGGAACACCTGGCAAAAACATCCTGCCTCTTGCAGTAGGCGTACCAACCAATCCAAACATTGGAATCTCCTCCGCCCCCATGCCGGAAAGCGGAACCGCTCTCCCCCAATCAGCCAATCCAATTTGGCCTCTTTTCCCTCTCCTCCCAACGCAAGATCTCCTCTGCCTTCTGCAAGCTTTTCACTTCGGTTGCTCCTCACTCTCAGAGCCACTCCACCTGCAGCCTTATACGTCAAATCCGAGCCCAACATCCCCTTGACAGGGACTTCTTCCCTTTCACCCCTGACATGGCAAAGCTTGCCATTGCAGCCACCAATAACTCTTCCACTCGGTGTCCTGATGACCTCATGGTTCTTCATCTGAAGCTCCTCGGCCCATGTGGCCTCCAGCACCTCACCCATATCTTCAACATCTCCATCTCCACAGCCTCTATTCCGTCCATTTGGAAAAATTTTATAATTGCTCATACAGCCCTATCTCCCTCCTCTGCCCTGCAGCTAAGATCCTTGAGTGCCTGGTGCTTCCATACATCTTGGGATCTCTCATTACCATCCCCTCGCAACATGGTTTCAAGCCAGGACATTCCACTGTCACCGCTCTCCTCCCGCTCGTGCACAAGATCGCGATGGGTTTCAACTCCCGGCACCCTCCAGCCCACACAATCGCCGCTGCTGTTGACCCCTCGAAGGCCTTCAACAGCGTCAACCACCCTCCCCTGAGCATGATCGCGGCCTCGGACCTACATCAGAACCTGGTCTGTTGGCTGTGCTGCTGGTACCTTAGAGGCAGGCTGGCATCCTGCCTCTTCCTCAGAATACAGTTGCGTTTTAGAGCTGTTCACTTCGGAGTGCCTCAAGGCTCAGTCATCTTGATAGCTCTCTTTAACCACTTCATCTCCAACATCCCAGTTCCGACCCCCAACATTGCCTCATATGCAGACAATCTTACCATCTTTGTGTCGTCCCCGAGGCTCGACGCTGCTGAGGCTGAGCTTGCTGTGCTCCTTTGGAAAATCTTGGATTGGTCAGCGGCCAAGAAACTGGGCGTGGCCCCTGGCAAATCCTCCGTCACACTCTTCACCCCAGACACCCACCAATCTCAATCCCGCCCTGCTGCCACTATCTGCAATGGCATCATCCCCCTGGACAAAACCCCTAAAATCCTGGGTGTCACCTGGGATACGCACTTCACATTCTGCCCTCATGCAAGAGCCATCGTCACTAAAGTGACGGGTTCTCTTTGCATCCTAAAAGCCCTAGTTGGTACCAACTGGAGCTTCTCCAAGGAGGACATTATTGCCATCTACTGAGCCATCACGTGCCCAATCCTCAACTACGCAGCCCCCATCTGGTACCCTGTTGCCTCACATACGGCAGTTGCCAGCCTCTGCAGATAATACAAAACTGGATCTGCATCTGGATCTGGCTTGTGCCCAGTTCCTTGCCAGCACCCTCCAGCCCTCCCATACCTAATTCAGCATTGTTTCTGCCTCCTCCCCCAGGGGACTGCCCCATGAAAGCCTCCATCCAGTCAAGGTTTGGTCACCTGGTTGCACCATTCTTGGATAATGGCATTATGCCTGCCGGTGCCTACGGAGAGGCCAAGCGGTCCCTCCGCAGGGAGACCGCCTCCTGCATTGCGGTGACTGACGCCATAAACGCCATACTCGCAGCCCCGCTACCGCCGATTGCTTCAGTGGAGGCCTCAACTTCCTCACCCCTACTGCTCGGCGCTATCCCAGCTCCGCTTGGGATACTGCAGCACCCTGGTGTCCTATTTCGCCAGAATCGGACGCTCCCCTAGCTCCGCTTGCCCAGTGTGCGGGGACTCTCTCCAGTCCGTTCAGCACCTCTATGCCTGCCCCGCCTTCCCCACGTCTCTCAGCATTTCCTCACTGTGGGACAACCCCGTGGAGGCAGCAGCTTTCTTGGCCACCCTCCCTGCCTTCACCCATCTACCCCCTCTTCCGGTGCCTGCCCCCAGCCCACCATCAGAGCCCCTCTCCCGGCAAGCGTTACGGTCATAATGAACAACAACACAAACATGCTAAAAAGTAAAGAGGTTGATATAGATATTGAGAAGAACATGTAAGAAAACAGTGCCCCAAAATTGCAATAAGAACATCAAGCAAAAAATTGCCCCCAAATTACATGTTTTTTGATTTGAAGGTGCAAGTATCCCAAGTTTTGAGCTACAGACAGGTATATATACATAGCTTGCAGATGCAGAATACTAGCATAGTCTGTGACTTATCTTTGAGGCTCAGTGTAATCGCTGCATGCTCAGGTTGGGCATTTTCTCCAATGCTAAATTTGAACATTAAATTTGTGGCTCACAACTGTGCCCCATTTCTTTGGGTTATTAAGTTTAATTTTATAGTAAAATTGGAATAAATAATAACTACTACATACCTAGTAAAATCAGAAATCTTTCAACTACACTAGTGTCAAATTTAAACATTTTAGTGTATTGACTGAATGAAATGCAGGATGGATTGCACTAAGATGGATCTATTGGTTTGGGGCAGTTGTCAAGACAAACTATTATTTCTAAGTTGAGGCCAACTATAAGCAATCTGAGGCAGAAACCCAATCACATATTTTTTTATTCTGTCACAGTGACACATCAAATAGGGAGACTGAAATCATCAGTCTTGATGCAAATAAACTATCCTGAGAATTTTATCCAATGTGAAAACTTTCACACGATATTCTTGTCTATATACTACTTAAAGTGAAGGAAGTTTAAAGAGCAGTGTGATAAATTGGATTGATAAGAAAAAAAAATGTCTGCAATGTGAAACCAGCACATGTGAGTGACAAGATCCATCTATATGTCCTTTCCAGCAGCTGAGCTGCGAGCTGCGTCATCAGGACATGTCCAACGTGAGCGCCTTGGCAGGACCGTTGTTAGGGGCTGCATTTAGGCAAATGAATGATTTATTAAGTGTTTCCAATTAATTCTCTCTTTTCTGTCCCCAGTGTTTGAATGTTAGATTGATTCAGATCAGTGGAATACTAAAGCCAGTTAAAGTAATTTTTGTGCCAAGTCATCTTCTTCATGGGTTGTTATTGACCAAGGCAGATTTGCTTTTCTGACCTAGTGCCTTTTGCTGACTAACCTGCTGTATTAAATGAACCTGCTTTCTGGTTATGATGATATCAAGACTGACCTGTTGCTGAACTGCTGATGCTTTTCTTGGCTCTTTAAATAGGTGAGTAAAGGGAATACTCTTGCCACGCATCTCAGTCCTAAATTTTAATTATTGAATGTTATCAGTAAATGTTTGTATTTGGGCTGCTGGTTATTTATGTTCTCATGCTAGGTTCACCCCATCACTCATAGCCCTGGGCTGTCCCATCTTCACTAACCTACTAACCATCATATTTCACCTTCATGTATCACTGATTCTATTTAATATATTTTTGCCTGGTTCTTCCTCCGTTTGTTTCCCTGAGTTTGTTTTGCTTGGCTTCACGTGCTGGTACTATACCGGCCGGACCGTTGACCTTTAGAGGGGTTGACCCCCAACACCGTAGTCACGAGGGTTGTGACAAGCGGACGAGGCAGCGGGTCAGGACAATGAGGGTGAAGGGATTAGCAATGGCAATTGCTTATGGCAATGCCACCAATCAGGAAAGAATTAATATTACGCCCGAAGTAAGGAACACCAAAGCGGATTAAGGTGAGGTGATAAGGCTGCCGCGCCGCTTAGAACTCAGGTGCAGTTGCAGAGCTTAGCCAACTGAGCTAAATTTTCAGGGAATTGGGGGAATGCTGAATTGAAGGGTTTCAGTCAGACCAGCTGCAAGTGGAGGCCGTGGGGCAGGTTCAGTATGCCAGGTATTATGCAGGACTGATCATGACCTGTGGGTTCAGGCAATGCACCTGGAGCACAGGATGAAGTATCCTTATCAAGTTGAGGGCCCCACTGTGTAGATTGAGCACGGGTGCAGGGCGGAGACTCTCTCTCTAGAGTGGCCGTGGCCTGCACTGCAGGCCAGGGTTGTGGGGGCTCAAACAGCTGGAACAAATATAGCATAAATGCAGGCTGGGGTTATAAGTCCACATTATGACATTAAGATGGAGGCATGGAGCCCACAAACAAGAGGAAGGGTTGAATCGAGGACAGGGCTAAATTGGTCCTTAGAGGAATAAGTGGCCTAAGACTAGGGTAGGGGCCCTGGGGCCACAGATGATCAATGACTCTACTCCACCAGTCCACCAGTCTACCTTTATGGGAAAAAATGCCATTGCTTGCAAGCAGATGCAGGCAAGCCGGGTATGGGGCCTGACATAAATGATTGGTTCAGCTGCCAGCTGCATTCAGTTTCAATGATGTAGGTGTTCTAGAGAGTGAGTAGTATGATGGTTTGCTAGCGCTTCAGCTATCAAGTAATTTTACACCAGAGATCCAAAATATAACATTGCCAGCAAGCCTGCAAGGCAGAAAGTCTAGGTTATTCAAAATCTCAAGTTAATCATCACCCACAAGGGGCAGAAGGTCTCAGTTGTCCAGCCCGCTGAAGCTGGCTTGAAAGAAGCAGCGTTAGCATCTCAAAGAGATGAAGTGACAAGGACTCAAGGAGGGACAGGTGAAAAGCAACAGAAACGAAGACACTCGAACAAGAGGTCGCTTACACGGGACGTCGGCCGCCCGCACGAGAGAGACAGAGAAGGGAAANTCACTGCAGTGGGTGACAGAGAGCGCATTTTCTCGTCGACGAAAACTTGACGTCACGAACGGACGGACAGACAGACGGACATGGCGAGCACTGGCACAGTAGTGCATTTTTCCATAAATGAGAAAATGCGCTAAAAATCGTTAATAAAATTTATTCTCTTATTTTCAATCAAACTAGCATAAGTATTAAATATCTGTGAAACTGCAACAATTAAACCTGAGTAGCTAAAATTGATAAATTGTTTTTTATCCAAAAGGTAACCATTTTATGGTATTGAAACTTCTTCAAGGATAAAGAAATAGTAAAAAAATTATTAATACAGTTTCCTACACGAATTAAAATTTGAAAACCACTGCGAATGTTGAAATATCGATAGGAGTATGACCTTTCAGGGTAAATCTAAAATTTTACGGCAACACTCGTCGATTCTCGTGAAATTTATCAGTTCAGGAAATGGTTTCAGCGAAGTTGTTCTATACGCACAGCGCACCGTCTAATCTCGTCTTGTACAAGTTTCATGAAATTATTGTAATGTAGGATTATTGACTAGTTGATAAGGCTACTAAAGTGATTTCCTAACCTCCTTGAATGCTGTACTATATGATTCGAGTACCTATGTGCTGTGAAATTGTTCTTATATTAATTAGGTATTAGCTAGCCTAAGTTATCCGATCCTTTGTTTGGAACCATTTTCTGGAATGTCACATGTGGTTTAGGTGTGAGGCTGTGACTTGTGAGCACATCTCAGCACAAACAAATTTTTTTCCTCTGATATTAATGAAAATTATACAGCTGAAAATAGTATTTTTTTAGAAAATTACCATATAAATGTTACTGGAATACGAATAAAAGTGAAAAAGCTATGAATTTTTTCCTTTATAAAATTATGTCTCCAAAATGAACAAATTTTTTGCACTTTTTTTTTTAAACTATTATTTCTAGGTTTTCTATGAGCCATTTTAAAAAATTTTAGTGCCATTAGCAAGCTCTTGTTGCAGGCTATCAATTATACCTAATTAAAATAGGCTAGGTATAACATTTTGGTTGAGACTTTGACTGCAGGTGGTGAGGGAAATGGGTGGAGAGTCACTGCTCACTGGAGACTGGACCACTGGACTGGAGTGTGAGTCTGTGAGACTAATACTGTGAGTGATAGAAATCATGATTGGTAGCAAGAAGTTCATCAAAAGGTAGAATTGAACAGAATGAATTATAGTTTGATAAATAAATTATTGATAGGACCTAACCTAAATGATGAATAAATGGCAATAAAACATTAAAAATGAATAAATGAGAAATGAATGATAATTAAGTGATAAATGAATGATGCAGGTGGATTTATTGGTGCATTCATTATATTTACATGATAGGTAAGCAATGGGAAAATACAAAATGATGGGTAAATGATAGTAGGGTAAACGCGGTATATTCCAACACATTAAGGACGCATCGAGAAATGAAAAACTATAAAAAAAACGTATGCGTTACGTCCTGTCTCTTANTAAGGTCCATTATGTCCCATCAACTGTTTTTGAAGAACATGCCCACTAACAGCCTTTATGTTATTGCAGACGGCTGTGGTCATAACGCCTGTGGTGAGCACCGTGCTGTACCAGGAGATGCTGTACGAGACACCTCTGAACGAGACCTGGGAGCGCAGCACCGTCCTTTACTCAACCTGTCTCTTATACACATCTAGATGTGTATAAGAGACAGCGTTTACCCTAATAATAAATGATAATGATAAATTAATAATACATGTAGCAAGGCTGGAGTACTAGAATGGAAGTTCACTTGTAAAAGAGCTTTTCACTCAAGGTGAAAACTGAAAAGCTTCCCTTAGATACAGTGCTCTCGCTTCTCTGTCAGGACAGTCAGGTGACTGACTATAAATAAAAATGAGTATCAAAAGTGGACAAACGGTTTCAATTGTATAGTACCTCAGATTTGTTATAGAATTGTTTGGATGTCTCTTGTTTAATTGATATTTTTTAGATTTCCTTTATTTAATGGATTTTTTGAAAAATTTCCAGGCTCTTTGTTTGTAATGATGAAGTTTAAATTAGTATTAAGTTAACCAGTACTGTAGTACATATCCCATATTGTATTGTGTAAGCAATATCTTGTCCGAGTGTTGTAGTTTCTGTTGCTTTTCACCTGTCCCTCTTTGTCACTTTGTCTCTTTGAGATGCTAATGCTGTATGCTGCTTCTCTCAAGCCAGCTTCAGCAGGCTGGACAACTGAGACCTTCTGCTCCTTGTGGGTGATGATTGATGAATAATTTGAGACTTTGAATAATTAAGATCTTCTGCCTTTTGGCCATGTTACATTTTGACCTCCGGTGCAAAATAGCTTGATAGCTACAGTGCTAGCAAACCATTCTACTACTACTACTACTCAGTAAATAAAGAAATTAAAATAACTGGATTCAAAAAATCTCTGGTTTGCCACCATGCCACAAAGTCTTTGGTTTAGTACAGTGGTTCCCAAAGTGGGTGGTACCACCCCCTGGGGCAGTGGAGATTTGGGGCGCTGAAGAAGAAGAAGAGGGTAGTAAGGGATTGGCAGTCCAAAGTTGAAGTCAGAAATTCAAATGTTTGTTTTACAATTTGTACACAACACATGCAGCACATCTCTCCCAGTAATGGCTTTTTCCACCCAGATCTGGTTTTTTTTTAACTTCTTATGGGTTTACATCTTGGATTAATTTACTACAGGACTTCCAGCCAATTTAAAAAATTCAATGACCAAGGAATATTGCCCAAACTATTGAACATAACTTGATGAAACTTGGTATGAACACGTATTGATTTGGATTTAACGGTGATGTTTGGCTGGTGACATTTTTTTAATTTCACCTTCATTTGTGAGTTATATGGCTATGGCGAATTGGCAATACAGTCCAAAATTTGCAGTGACCCAGGAATTTCTTCTGAACTACTAAACAGTGTTGAATGAAATCTTGATTATACATTCCTAACTACTGAATAATGTTGTTAAGCTTGTGAACATTTTTTTATTTCACCTTAATTTGTGATTTAGACAGCAATACATGCTTAAATTTGCAGTGATCACTAAATTTCTTCTAAACTACTGAACAGGTTTGAAAGAAACTTAGTATTCCGGTCTAAGTTACCCCAAGAGCTGGGGTAACAAAGACCATCTTTTTTTTTAAATTACATAAAGACTATGAGAGGCAGGAGCCAGCAATTTATGGTGAGTGAAGCTAGAGTATAGACCTGTATTTTGCATGTTTCAATTCAAGTTTAATTTAGCTAGTAAAAAATGGCTTCATTTATAAAAAAAAGTGGTCTAAGTTACCCCATTTTACGGTACTAAACAGTGTTGAACGAAATCTTGATTATACATTCCTAACTACTGAATAATGTTGTTAAGCTTGTGAACATTTTTCTATTTTGCCTTTATTCATGAGTTTTTTTTTTTTTATTTCACCTTCATTTGTGATTTAGACAGCAATACATGCTTAAATTTGCAGTGATCACTAAATTTCTTCTAAACTACTGAACAGGTTTGAAAGAAACTTAGTATATATATATACTTAATCTCCGCAAGGGTGATGTTTAGCTACCTACAATTTTTTCAATTTTGCCTTCCTTTGCGAGTTATTTGACTATACATATTCAGCTCTTGGTTAAACCAGCTGCTAGAAATGCTGGTCATTTCTCTGTATATTGGTATGTATAACTCACAAACACAAGCAAAATAGAATAAAATTGTCACAAACTAAACATCACCATTGGAAGGTTAGGTATTTATATACCAAGTTTCGTTCAAATCTGTTCAGTAGTTCAGAAAAAATTTCTTGATCACCGCTAATTTGAGCAACAAATTACCTGGCTAGATGATCTGAATAAAGAAGTGTGAAAGCATGAATGATGGTGAAATGAAAAAAAAAAAAACTCAGAAATGAAGGCAAAATCAAAAAATTTTTCACAAGCTAAAAATCATCATTTGGGAGTTAGAAATGTATATTAAAAATTTTGTTCAAATCTGTTCAGTAGTTTTGGAAGAAATGCTTTGATCACTGCAAATTTAGGCCTGTATTGCCATATAACTTAAGAATGAAGGTAAAATTTACAAATTTTTGCAAGCTAAACATCACCGTTAGGTCTTAATAAATGCATGTACCAAGTTTCATTGAGCTGCGCCCATTGGTATGGGAGATATTCCTCAATAATTGAATTTTGCGATTGGCCACCAGTCCGGCCATAAATTTGTCCTAGACGCCCCGGGTCTCTAGTGCTTTAACAGTTAAAACTTTAACAAATATATTGGTTTCCTGAATGGGTTTATATTTGGGAAATACACATTTGTGTTTAACTTTTCTCTTTTAAAATTGCAGTTTACTAAATATCAAGAAAGAGGTGTTTGTTTTTACATGTGTCTTTGGTGCGTGGGGCACTAGAAATTCACTGGGGAGCCAAAGGGAGTACCAGCCTCAAAAAGTATGGGAACCACTGGTTTAGTAGATGGCAGTTAGTTCGCCCTGGTTGCACTTGCATCATTACAATTATTTGTTTTAAAGCAATAGAGGCATTAGAGGGCCAATTTGATCAAATGGGCAGAAGCTACCTGTGAATTAATCGAAAATGTCTGTAAATCTGGACCATTTTATCCATTCCAATGAACTTTTTCCCCTATAATTTTTTACAGGTTTTCTCTTTTATCCAGAGTAATTAGTTGAAGACTTGTTTTTTATAGCAATCAAAATGCAGTTCTTTTATGCTACCTTGTGCTTGCTGGCAACATCTTTATTAATACAAATGCACTCAGTGCTCTCAGCAGGTGTTCCTGTTCTAGCTCTTTTGCCAACCCCTGTTGTAGACAAAGGAGTTCCTCGCACTGCTCCTCCTGAGAATGAAATTCACAGTTCCCAGTATGCCACTCCAGTGTATAAAGATTACTACTCAAAGGTTAGTCCAATTATTCATCACATTTGATTTACAGTCTTGGCATAACTTTTATACTACTAAGCTTGCTCTCATAGTAATTCTGTGAGATTTCTTCTCTTACCTAAAAATATTGTTGGTTATGATATGAAGTGACCTTATTTTATATTTGAAGCAACTTGGAGTTTTTCTAATATTAAGAATTCATTTGTCTGCAGTTGCTAATTTTAATATAATATAATGGCTAATAAATATAATTAATTACTAGAGAGAAATTTTTTTATACATGTACATGGCATTTAAGAACATGCACAATAGGGACTTGATGCTGTAGATAGCTGGCTCTGCAGTGAAAATTATAGTAATAAACTTGAAAAAATGTGAAATAATATTTTTTACTTAGTTATTTATTAGTGTTTTATTAACATAAACTTTAGCATCACTGGCTATGTGTCATTATATTTTCTATGATGTCCTATTAAATGTTATTGAAGAACATGCCCACAAACAGCTATTATATTGTCCATTATGTTCCATCAAATATTATTGAAGAACTTGCCCACTAACAGCCTTTATGTTATTGAAGAACATGTCCACTAACAGGTGTCATCATATTGTCCATTATGTTCCATCAAATGTTTTTGAAGAACTTGCCCATTAACAGCTTTCATCATATTGTCCATTATGTTCCATCAAATATTATTGAAGACCATGCCCACTAGCAGGTGCCATCATATTGTCCATTATGTCCCATCAACTGTTTTTGAAGAACATGCCCACTAACAGCCTTTATGTTATTGCAGACGGCTGTGGTCATAACGCCTGTGGTGAGCACCGTGCTGTACCAGGAGATGCTGTACGAGACACCTCTGAACGAGACCTGGGAGCGCAGCACCGTCCTTTACTCAACAGTGCGCAACACAACCCTGGGGGTGTCGACCCCAGCCTTTGTGCCCACTGTTCTCCCCTCCAGAACCTACGAGACATACGAGTGGCCCACTGAGACGCAGATCTATACCACTGCAATCAATGCCACCACAACCAGAGTTGTGGAAAATACAATTTTGTTCCCTTAGCTTTTACTGTTTACATTTGGATGATTCATGGACTGAATGGCAATTTAGTCCCCAAAATATTTTTGTAATGCCACTTTGACAGTGTCAAGCTTAGGGTTAAGTTATTATGTCTTAATGTATTGAAATGTGACTAGCAATAATTTGTATTTTACTACTTTAACTTTTAACTTTAGTGAAGTCACATGTTTCCGCGGTTGCCATCCGCTGTCATTCTTTCTCTGTAGCTGTCATTCCCTGCTGATAAAGATGTCTCACGGTCAGTCTGGCCGTAGGTTGTTTTATAAAGACCGTACTTCTGATTAGTGGGGTCGTCATCATCATTGATGATGTTACTCCAAGCTCATTGCCGTGCTTCTGCTGTTAGTAATCGTGACCGTGCCGCTACTGAAGATGATTTTGACCATACATTACTGATGACCGTACCGATGATTTCTTGCACAATGCTCTCTTGAATGTGCAGATTGCCGCCTTATTGATCCTTGAAGGCCTTGTTGTCTCTCGTGTTGTCTTACGGCTAAGTCACAGATGTAACAATGATGTTGGCCAAACAAGTATGGCCAAGTTAAGTCACTACTTGATCTCTGACCTTATAACGGAATAGTAAAGGTAAGAACGACTCGAAGTTTTGCGTGGCTGTTATTTCTGATCACTCCGTCTCCTGCGTCTGCGGAGATAGCTGCAGACCGTACTGGCGTGACGGTCACCCCAAAGGATCAACTTTTGGCGCGAATCTTAGGGTCCTTATGTAGGCAGACGTCGTGCACACTTGAGCCTACCAACGGACGCTGCATCAGTTTCGAGTTCCGCAAAGGTCAGCCCTTCCAATACCCTCGGCCATTCCTAACTATAAAAAAATTTGTTCACATGGTTTTCTACCCCAACTTTGTGGTCATGTAACATCCTGCTTATAATTGCTCGATGTCGCTTAGCCCTTTCTCACAACTTTACGCAAGCAATATTCAATATAAACTATAAACAAAAGTCAGAATTGCTCACGCTTCATTTGAAATTCACTCGTATGACTATGGATAAGCCTGGGCCGCATTTTGCTGCATGACATTTTCATTTTAATATTCCCAGAAATCATTCCAAATATTCCGGTGCCAAACCCAGAAAACTTATGTGACACCAGCTCTTTCTAAATATTTAAAAATTGTAGAATCAAGGATGAAAGATTTTAAAGCAACATAAATTGACATTACTTAATTTTTGTGAGGTCTTGAGTACTTCAGTAGGAACGTTATCCGTGTTTTTACAGTGGCTAATCTACTTTTTTTCAGGCAAGCCTGGAAATTGCAACCCTATTTCATTACAAAAAATCAGCCAAAAACGAAGGCATTAACTTGTTAAGCTTATGGAAAAAAGATGATACAAATGCCTATTGTTTTCTTTTTAAAGCTGTAATATGGCGTGCATTTTATTCGTTAGTGCTAATTGTTTCACCATTCTTTGATTATCAGGTCTCATAAATACGTACTTGAGTTTTCTGAGCTAGCCTTACAAATGCCACATGTCGTGTAACGTGAGCCTCCTGCTTATTACCAGTAATCATTGTTTGAATTTCTCACCTAATTCGTGGCACTCTTTATTGCCTCAAATATATGTCAGACCTCAGGTATTGGTAAGATGGGGAGCTTGGTGTGAGCTAAGCCTCGTCGAACTATACTTGTTCTACTCTTTTGGTTATCGTGTCACAAATGTTCCTTAAGTAATTTTAAATACCAGCCATATATATTATCATTTATGACAGTTAATTTATGATTGGAAAATGTTTTTTGAATGACTTTACTTTCGTTGAATCAACAATATTCGCTGACAGGATAACAGTGTGTTGGGTTCTTAAATTATTTGTATTGTGTTGGAGTTAATCACGTGCTTTGCTTGTTAATCACGTGCTTTGCTTGTTAATCACGTGCTTTGCTTGTTAATCACGTGCTTTGCTTTTGAGTGCGTGGTTCTAGACAAAGTTTGCACTATTTGAGGAGCTTCAAATATATCAGGTTTAAATTTAATATATTAACAGCATTTTGCCTTTTAGTAACTCCTCGCCTTGTGCTTCCTGACGAAGCGTTGCTGTAACATTTACCGTATGTCAAGTTTTTTTTGTATATTTCCGATTATCGGGATTTATTCTATCTTATAGGTCTCCGGGTTGTTCAAGTGTTTACTACACTGACAGTTTGTGTTAGATCTGAATAAAATAAGTGCTGCTCCGGTAATGCATTTCATTTGTCCTCGTGTCCTTCAACATCAACAAGGTCCTATTTCGAACGGTGCTTTTTAACACTTGAACTTCACACGCTTCAAATATTTTCTGACTTTAAAATACGACATTGATAGAGATTTGGTGGCATATGGAGCTGAAATGAAGAAAATTAACGACCTTAAGGCGTAAATTATTTCGCGATCGTGGTTAAGTTTGAATGTGCTCAGAATGTGGGAGATATCTCCTTATCTATGAAAGAGACCGTGTAGCTACCCGATTAATTAAGTGAACAAGTTATTTGAATCCGGTTCTTGACAGAGAAATTATTTCTATTTTGACATTACAGCAAACTCATCGTTTTCCTATTCATTCTGATTAGCTTGCAACCGTGACGTTTTCATTACGATAACATTTTTAATAATAGCTTTGAATGCGTTGGAGTAACACCATCAGGTTTATCGCCGTTTTTGAATGTAGCAATAATTTCACATCCTTCGGGTTTAAAGCACGCAACTCTGTTACAACAATCACGTCTCGGACAAATTTACGGTCGGACTCGCGGCCGGTGTCCAAATTCAGTGAGCATGGAATATCTCCCGAAGTAATGAACGTAGCTCGACGAAACTTGGTACACTTATTCAATAGGACCTAACGGTGATGTTTAGTTCGTGAAAATATTTCAAATTTCGCCCTCATTTGTGAGTTATATGACGATAAGTGACGAAATTTGCAGTGAGCATGACATTTCTTCTAAACTACTCTACAGATTTTAACGAAACATTGAATATAGAAACCTAGCCTCCCAACGGTGATTAGCTCATTAAATTTTTTGGATTTATCCTTTGTTTGCGAGTTTTTTTATTTAAACGGCAATACGTGCTTAAATGCTCACTGCAAAATTAAGCACGTATTGCTGTTTAAATTACGAATGATGTAAAAAAAAAATGGCAAACGAAGGCAAAATCTACAAAATTGTCACGAGCTAAACATCACCGTTGGGAGGATAGGTTTCTATATTCAAAGTTGCGTTCAAATCTGTACAGTAGTTAGAATAAATGTCATGCACTACAAAATTCGGCAGACGCTCATAGGACTTCTTATAGATGCAGAAGCGATGAAGCAGTTGTTTGTTGCTGCCGTGCGCCCGAACCTAGAGTTTGGAAACGTTATGTGGTCACCGAGATTTGAAAAGGACAAAAATTTAATAGAAAATGTTCAAATACGTGCAACAAGGATAATCCCAGGCTTGGAGGGCAAGTCCTATGAGGAAAGATTAAAGGTTATGAATCTTCCGAGCCTCAGTTATCGGAGTCTGCGTGGGGACCTCATTGAAGTATACAAATATACTCATGGTTTATACAAGGTTCCCAAAGGATTACTAGAATTTGAACAAGAACCAACACCAGGGGGCCACGGCTATAAACTGAAAAAACTGCTCCGAACTTGTCCACTTGATAACATATATTCTCGCTTTGAATCATCGACATGTGGAACAACCTCCCTGATTACATCGTTGGCGCTCCGAGTATGAACACGTTCAAAAACAGACTAGATAAAGCTATGGGAAAATATATTTTCAGATTTGAAATGCCTAGCACCATATCGAACCCGGGGGAAGTCTAGTAGCTATTTGAAACTATCGTCAGCTTTGAAAAGATCCGGTCAAATGACATGATTATAGATCTTCTGTGAACAACTCACTAAAAGTTTAAGAATGGGCGACAGGCCACATCAGGCCTACTCTTTAGCGTCGACATCACTATGTTATGTTATATAACTAACAAATTAAGGTGAAATTCTAAAAAAGTTCAGGAGCTTATATCACCGCTAGGTCATAATGAAAACGCGTACCAAGTTTCAAGGACCTACGTTCATTACTTTGGAGGATATTCCTTGCTCACTGAACTCACTGAATTTGGGGAGACCGGCCGTAAATTTGTCCGAGACGTGTTCTAATCTTGCTGTGTTCAACCGCCCGTCCTGTGCTCAATTTTCATCAAAGCATTTGCAGATGGTTGCAGGCCTCGAACCCATATTCTACAGCTCCAGTCTCTTGGCCACCCAAGACCAATGGTAAACTCCTGAAGGCAACCAATTTAGCAAACGAAATCTAAAATGGAGTAGTGTGCAAAGACAAAGAAATGAGAGAAAAGTTCCTGAAGCTTGCTTTGATGTCTTTCGTAAACCAAATCTAGCTGTTAATAGTTATATAACTAGATAGAGCCGCAAGACCGGCCGCATATTCGGTCGTAAATTTGTCCGAGGCTTGTAAAACGATACCATCGAAGTCGAAAACTAAGTTTGTAAAATAGTTTGGAAATATTCTTTGCTAATGAAAGGTTCATAACCTTCATAACTTCCCGCAATATATTTTGCTCATATATGTCAGAAGATTCATTTGCCTGATTATACCGCAGCCGGATCCTTCATTTTTATCGCATGTCACTTGTTTTTCTTGAATGTCTATCGTCATCATAGATGACTTTACCATCTGCATTCTAAATCCAGTGTAAACATTGAAGTGTGTCTGTCCTATGTTGCAGTTTTTGCAGAGATGAATAATTGATTACGAATGCTGTACCATGGATAAATTATGATGGCAACTCAATGGAGTAGTCAAAATGTTGTTGCCGAGCACAAGGATGTTCCGGTAAGTTCTTATTTTAAAAAGCTGAAGTCAAAGTAAAAATTTATTTGCAAAACTTCTAGGTAGCCTAGGCACTCCATTCTTAATTTTTTGGCTGCATTTATTTTTAAGGATTTATGTACCTGGGTCAATGGAGATGTTAAATAGATGTTCACTATTATTCCAACTCTAATTATGTAAGCATATATAGGCTATTGTCGAATCACAGTTCCAGCACCAGTTAGCATACAAACTTTAAACTTACAAGTTTTCTTCTCACTTGAACTATTTAATTATTCAATTCACTGAGAAATTGTTTTCTTCTTTCTTTACAGGCCTCAGCAATGGCTGTGGACTTTACTGGGTCTTATGCTGTACTTGCTGGGTAAGTTCTTAACT